ACTATGTGGCGAAACGTTTCCTTAATAAAGATACCCAAGAGTTGCACATGTGTCTAATTTATCAATAATCCGCATGGAGACAGAAGCACAGGAGGTTGACTGATCTGTATATTTCGACCCTCACCTCTTTCCCGTCACAACCTGCTTAATACAGACCTCTCTTACTACTGTCTTGCCTAGCTAAGGTCATGAAAAGGCTTATACACACTCACATTCTATGGTATTTTGAACGCAGCATTCTCACACTATCGAGGATTGTTAACATCATCATCTGGTGACACGGAAGCACATGACTTCTTCCGAAAAGAAGAGGTCATGATGTTCGGAGGACTCAACCGAGGAATCGGATTTGAAAGTTCTGGCAAGGAAGTTGCGAGATCACTCACTGGACTCCCTGGACTCATGAGACAACGAAGCAAGTGAAACCAGCAGGGCCAGTGAGATGGGGATGGATCAAGAAACGCTCATCCCAACCACTGATATACAAGATGGCGAATGTTGGCAGGCAGCAGGAGTCCCGAAGTCTCAGAAGAGACAATGTTACCTTGCCTCAGATCGGGAAAGCCAAGACTTCTGCAGGCAACAAATTCAGGCTAATAAGTAAGGGACACCACGACACCCCGTGTTCTTCTATAATTCACCTCAAGAAGAAATATGGCCTGAAGACTTCAGTGTCCCCAAATCTGAAAGAGAAGTTTATTCTCACTCCCCGAAACAGAGTCCTATGAAGTACAGCAGAAGGTGAACAACCTCGAATCCTCAATTGTTCTAAAAGAACTAAAATCCATAGAGAGGATAACAAAAGGTACACTAATGTGCTACAAGCTAGACATGCTCTCGATGCAGTCTATAGTAATGAAACCATCCTGAAAGTTGAGCGGCTCCAAGCGAAGAAGGACGACAACAACGTACCTACGAGGCAGGTCTTTATCAAACATAGAGGACCTCTCTCGGCTCAATTGGATCTCGGTTGTTGGGGAACATACCAGGTTAGGACGAACAACCCAGAACCTCTGAGGGGTTTCAGGTGCCACAGGTACAACCAACTCAGCGCCCGATGTCAGTTTAACCCTTAAACTGTCCAAACGTAGATCTACGTTTTTTCAACATTTGAAAGTATGCAAAAAAACGTAGAGCTTCTTTTTCTTTTTTTTTTACATTTGAAAACTTGTAAAAAAAGAACTTTGATCTACATTTTTTTTGTTATATTTGAAAATATGTTAAAAAACGTAGATCTACTTTTGGAGCACTACGCATGTGAACATTGATCTGTTTGGACAGTTTAAGGGTTAAGGAAATATGCAGCATCTGCAGCGGGTCTCACCCAACCAAGGACAGCTTGGATAAACTGTAGAAAGGTGAAGCTATGGAACCTAGATGTCCTGGGGCAAGAAGCATCATGCTTGGAACCTGCACTGCCCGGAGAGGCTCCGCCGTATCAAGGCAGCAGGGAAAACTCCTGTTGTCCAGCCTCCAGTATCAAATAGAGCCCTCACCACTGAGCAGCAGCCTCGTCCAGAGGAGGCTACAGAAACCCGGAATCCAGGGCCACTTCCCCGGCCACAGCGACGAAGGAAGCCGAGGAAGCATCAGCTACGGGGTCGTGTCGTTGCTCAGCCAGCTGACATTACCTCTGCTCGAGCTCCCACCCGACAACGACAGCCGACGGGCTCTATGCTGCAGGAGAAGACTGCAGACAATGCATCAACCCTAGCACCACAAGAGTCACCAGTTAGGAGCACTGTAATCCAAGAGAGCGGACCAGGGCATCCATATTACACCTGAGCCATCAAATGATGTCGACAATCACCTGCTTCACCGATATCAAATGCGATCTGATAGACTCAGAGGACAGCGAAGAGACATTCAGAACTAATGTGAAGACGTTGTGAACATACGTATGATAGACAAAACAAAGACCAGTCGTTTATTCTCAAATTTTCCCGATTACCCATAGAGGGCCCAGAGATGTTAATGGGAGGCATAATGGCTTCAGCCCTGTAGTACATAAAATGTACTACATAATGGCTTCAACCCTGAAGTACATAAAATGTACTACAGGGCTACAGTAAGGTCCTGATCTCAGACTCAGAACACCTGAATTAGATCGACATCTCGGAGATGCTCAGACAGGATTAAGACCCGTATTAGGACAGTTCCTAACGAATCAATCAATCACATTATCATTTCAAAAGAATTTCAGACCCCAGTAGCTACACAAGGACTAAATATTATCTTCGAATAAGATATCCGTTCACCTATTAAACAAGATATCCGATGCGGCGTTTCGCTGCCCAAGACCTTTGTCAAGCCGTTACCGCCCGTTACATGCTAGAGGTTCAAACCTCATCCATTCTGTGGTCTGTTTACATTAAGAAGTTTTGTGTCTCATACGAGGCAGTTCCTCACGTGATATTCATATAAACACCGGTATTTCCCAAGGATTAATTCTGAGACCAACTGTTTACACAGTCATGTTGGCCGGAATACCAAACACATATCCGGGACACAGCTCAGCATATACTGCTGTTATAATATTAATCCTTGCTTCATCGCTAGTAGCTACAGTTTTAGAGTTGTAATAATCATAATAATCTCATCAGATAATAGAATAGTAATAATCCTTCGACCCATGATGTTACAGTCATGGGTCAGGGGTAGGAGACAGTGGCTGCAAGTGTTCCATAGCTCGATTGATAGCGCACTCAGGTCACACGCTGAGGTCCGAGGGTCGATCCCCGGTACGGGTGGAAACATTAGGACGTGTTTCCATAGGACACCTGCTTTCCATGTTCACCTACCAATAAAATAGGTACCTGGATGTTAGACGACTGGGGTGAGTCGCACCCTGGGGGCAAAATTGAATTAATTTTCCCGAAATGCTCAGTATAACAAGGGGCTTTCTATACAGTTGTATGTCATTGATGTCATCTAGGACTGTATACCTTGTACGTGTATTTGTAGAAATAAAGATTATGGGTGAGAGGAGGGCTGAGTGAGTGATACAGTGGTCACAATCATGGGGTGACATAGATAGTGGTCACAACCATGAGGTGACAGAGACAGTGGTCACAATCATGGGGTGACAGAGAGACAGTAGCCACAATCATGGGGTGAAAGAGACAGTGGTCACAATCATGGGGAGACTGAGAGAAGGGTCACAATCATGGAGCGATAGTGATACAGTGATCATAATCATGGGGTGACAGAGATACAGTGGTTACAATCATGGGGTGACAGATATACAGTGGTCATAATCATGGGGTGACAGAGATACAGTGACCACAATAAACAACAACACAACATTGCACAAACTGCCACTGGATGGTTCAGCTGGCAATCATACACTCGACACTAGGAAACTTATGCAGTTGTAAAACCGAGCCCATGGAAATTTGTGAAGCTTTCATGTGTGTTCTTGTGCATGTGTATGAGTATGCATGAATTTGTATACCTGTGTGTTTTTATAACACAAACGTTGAAAGTTTATAGGCGACCAGACATGGCATACCTCAGGTATCTCACGAAATCCAATGACACCGAGTCTTATTAGAATTGTTGTATATTAGCAAATTTGCAATTGCATTAGCGCTTAAGATTTGAAGCCGATCAGAAGAGGTATTCTTCAGTTACCGAGGAAAGCAGTACCACACTACGTTCACTGAATTTGCTAAACTGGGACACATTCTGTCAAGTAACAGGGATATACCCTCACCTGCCATGGGTTCAAACCACACTAGTTCCCTGGTTTGTTTACAATCGCGTTATTACGGACTTCGTGAGTTGTTAGTCAAAAGGACACAAGTGCAACTAATGTGATATTTTACTGTGGCAACGTTTCGCTCCACAGGAGCTTTTTCAAACCGTTAAACGGCTTGACAAAGTAAAATTAGCAGATTGGAAAGTTCAAAGCCTAGAATCAATACATCCAAAATTCTCATTGAGATTAAACCAGCATTTAGGGTTTGATGCTGATCAAAAGAAGCCTCCAGTTATTGCAAGCAAACAGTTTATTAAATGAAGCCGGCAAATTAAAACTTACGCAGGTCAAAGTGAATGTCAACTTTTATTTAAGTAAATCCTTCTAGCAAGTCATTCTCCCGTTATTGCTCTGTGTCCCACCTTCCACGGTTTCCAATCACCTAAGCAAACTGTGAGATTTGCACCTATATAGACCAAACTTACTAGGCACTATCCTGTACTAGAGATCCATCAACACTTCAAGTATGAAGTCGTTCATACTTGAAGGATGATGTAAAGAGGAAAACGATCAGCACTATCTCATATAAAATTGGTAATTGTTTATCTAGTAGCTTCACTAACACTGACGACCTTCATCTGAGTAAGATACACCAATACTGAATATTCGAAGTCAGACGAGGCTTCGCAAGCTATTGGAGCTATTCTAAGAGACCTGGAATAGGCTATATATCACAGGGCATCGGAGATGTCAAAAATTACATGATCCCTCACCCTTGTACAGTGACCAGCCTCGAGGTGGTCGCATGAGGCTTCCTCAACTTATTAAGCAAAGTTTGGAGGTATTATAAAAAAAATTCAATTTCAGGAAGCCATTTAAAGATTCCCCTCCGGGGATACCAAATTTGTTGGGATACTTTTGTGCTTAAGTGTGTGTCAGAAAAAACTATGCTGTTTAGCCTTCGACTTTTCAGACATCATGGCATTTGTACTTAAATGTAACAGTATATGTTGTGTAAAAATAATTTATCTTTTATCTCAGTTTGACTGAGATAGCCATGTCAGCTCTTATGAATCTCAGCATTTAGTAAAGGTTTACAGGCAGACGGACAGACATACAATTCTACAAACGCAGACAGGTCAGCAGGCGAACAAGCAGGGAGACAAGGTGATAACTGCGACGGGAAACAGGCAGGTATACATGGAAAAAGGAAGATCGTAGGGCAGGAAATCATGTAGGCAGGGAGACAGGAGGCTGGGAAGCGGGGCGGGGTATAGTGTATATACGTATATATAGAAAGTGGGAGAGCATGGCAGTCATTCTGTGTCCTCGGCAGTGGACGTCAACACATTCTAACTAGAGGCGTAGTCGTCTCGTCTCATCCCTCCGGCTACACGTTGTGTCAATGTTGGTCTTCACGTCGTCACGCTGACACAGGAGCATCTTACATATATTTGTGAGAGTTACTTTGTATTTTTATAACTCGATTGCTAGCGCATTCAGCTCGCACATTGAGGTCCATGGTTCGATCCCCGGTACGTGTGGAAACGTTAGGACGTGTTTCCTTGAGACACCTGTTGTCCCTTCTCACCCATCAGTAAAATAGGTACTTGGGTGTTAGTGGACTGGTGTGGGTCGCATCCTGAGGACAAAATTGACCTAATTTGTCCGAAATGCTCTGCATAACAACGGCCTTTCTATATAGTAGTATGTCATTGATGATGTAGAAGTAAAGATTATTATTATTATTATTATTATTATTATTATTATTATTATTGTTATTGTAGATAAATGGTTCAGAGAACCGACAAGTTTATGAATTAGACACATGTGCAACACTTGGGTGTCTTTATTGTTGAAACGTAGCCCCCCTCAAGGAAGGTTCCTTGATGTTGGTGAGGGGCTCTTGATTTAGGGAATTGGATCTTGTCTCCAGTTCCCCGAATTAAGCCTGAATGCCTTCCACATCCCCCCCCAGGCGCTGTATAATCCTCCGGGTTTAGCGCTTCCCCCTTGATTATAATAATAATAATAATCGCCACACAGTGGCTTCATCAGTCCTGCACAAAGAAGAATGGTGAACATCAGAAGGAGTTTGAGGTAATCAGTCCCCCAGCCTGGAGTCGATGTAATCAGCTCATCAGCCTTGAAAAGAAAGAAAAGAATGATGGACTGATTACATCGGCTCCAGCCTGAGGGACTGATTACCTCAAACTCCTTCTGATCTTCACCATTCTTCTTTGTATGGACTGATGAAGCCACTGTGTGGCGAACGTTTCCTCAGTAAAGACACCCAAGTGTTGCACATGTGCCTAATTCATTATTATTATTATTAATATTATTATTATTATCATTATTATTATTAGTATTATTATTATTATTATTATTATTAAACCCAGTGCAAACAAAGATTTCATATAACCAGAAACATATTTCAGGCTGTAAGGAGATTCAAAATTTTAATTTGAGGCGGCGCTCCATGGGAAGCACTTTTTTTTCCCCCACAAATCACATTATCCCAATTAATGACATTATCCCACCTGGTTGATCAGGGCGTGACCCACAGTCAGGCCTGGTCAAGGACTGGGGGTGTTGACCCCCACAACACTCTCCGGGTAGACTCTCGGTGTGATCATATGTTACTGAGGGATAAGCAAAGCAACTCTCTACTTTAGGATTCAACCTGGTGCACAGTGACGCTGTCATTCTTACAAGCATCGCATCGCGTCTTGAGTATGATAGCTCAATTACAACATTTGCAAATAACCTGCAGTTCCCCGAATTAAGCCTGAATGCCTTCCACATCCCCCCCCAGGCGCTGTATAATCGTCCGGGTTTAGCGCTTCCCCCTTGATTTTAATAATAATAATAATAATAATGCAAATAATCTGCAGTAGTTAGAATACTCATTGAATACAGAATTAAAAGGCACAATACCGTGACTAGAGCAATACACAAGTAACTCCTCACACAGGAGACGACGTTTCGGTCAGAATTGGACTAGTTAATGGTCCAAGTAGGACCGAAACAATACACAAATAAACCGGTTATTTGTGTACAAAATACAAAAAATAACCAGGATATTTGTGCATTGTGTACTCTCTGGATATTTGTAAACTTTAACCCAATAGACTCTGTCTTGTATAACGGAGAGTCGACCAGTAACACAGACAGGTTGGTTTAGAAAGACACGTAAGCAAACACTATGACATATTTATTAGAAAACGTTTCGGTCCTGGGACCTTGATCACTTCTAACATACAGAGGTAGAAAGGCATTATATATATAGGCGGAGAGTGAGGTGTGACGCACGTGACCTGAGGAATGTCATAAGAACATAAGAATGGAGGAACACTGTAGAAGGCCTACTGGCCCATGCGAGGCAGGTCCTTATCAAAACAACCTCTGCCTATGATGAGGACGGGTAGACGATGAAATCATGTGACTCCTGTGTTGTTGGGTTGGTGCTGCTTAAGTATCATGTATGCCAATGTTTTTGAAATTTTGTAGTTTCCAGTGCTGCGTTCTATAGTGTCGGTGACGGCGATTAGTGAGGCTTCTAAACCAACTTGTCGGTATTTATTACCAAGGTTTATACCAACACAGACAGGCTTGACCAATGCTAAGGGCTGGTAAAAGAATTTAGAGCTCGAGCTTTCCTGAGAAGGAGACTTAATACCTAAGTATATGTGTATTCTCACAGGTTAAGCGATTTTTAAAGAATCTAATAATAAAGTGTACCTGTGGGTGTTTTCCTACCAATCTCTTTTTAATCCAAAATTAAGGTTTCTGGCCTTCCAGCAGATATGGAGTGGACCACTGTAGTTGCAGTTACGCTGGTGACGGTGATGGCGAAGACAGTGGGTGGCACCGTCCATCAGTGTTTAGATGACAGCAACCAGGACTCCGCCGGAGACTTCAGCTCAGACCTCACTGGTATCACCGACTTCGGCTTCGACCTCTACAGGCAGCTCACCGGCAAAGACACATCCGAGAACTTCTTTTTCTCCCCCTACAGCATATGGACAGCACTTACCCTGACTTACTTCGGATCAGCGGGAAATACGAAAAAACAGTTAGAAGCTGCTCTGAGGGTGAAGGGCAAGAAATTAACACTAAGGTTGTGGCGATCACTTGGAACTCTGTGAGTATATATCGCGCCTTCACCTAAATGCACACACAAAACTTAACCAAGGGCAAATATATACATGCCATGCACACACACACACACACACCCCACACACACACACACACACACACACACACACACACACACAACACACACACACACACACACACACACACACACATACACACACACATGCACACACAGGGATGATTATACAAGAAAGGGAATTAAAGAATTTTCAAACAGTATATTAGAGAAATTAAATTGAGCAATATACTACAAGGCAAAAATATACATAATCTCTGCAAAGATTTTTGTATTGAATATGAAAAATAGAATGAAACAGTTTATAATTCCATTTTATATTCCAAATAGGAATATAAAATGGAATAATAAAGAATGGTATAATGGAAGGTGTTGGAGAGCTATGACAAGAAGAATGGAAGGTGTTGGAGAATTATGACAAGAAGAATGGAAGGTGTTGGAGAGCTATGACAAGAAGAATGGAAGGTGTTGGAGAATTATGACAAGAAGAATGGAAGGTGTTGGAGAATTATGACAAGAAGAATGGAAGGTGTTGGAGAATTATGACAAGAAGAATGGAAGGTGTTGGAGAATTATGACAAGAAGAATGGAAGGTGTTGGAGAGCTATGACAAGAAGAATGGAAGGTGTTGGAGAACTATGACAAGAAGAATGGAAGGTGTTGGAGAATTATGACAAGAAGAATGGAAGGTGTTGGAGAATTATGACAAGAAGAATGGAAGGTGTTGGAGAGCTATGACAAGAAGAATGGAAGGTGTTGGAGAATTATGACAAGAAGAATGGAAGGTGTTGGAGAATTATGACAAGAAGAATGGAAGGTGTTGGAGAATTATGACAAGAAGAATGGAAGGTGTTGGAGAGCTATGACAAGAAGAATGGAAGGTGTTGGAGAGCTATGACAAGAAGAATGGAAGGTGTTGGAGAGCTATGACAAGAAGAATGGAAGGTGTTGGAGAATTATGACAAGAAGAATGGAAGGTGTTGGAGAGCTATGACAAGAAGAATGGAAGGTGTTGGAGAATTATGACAAGAAGAATGGAAGGTGTTGGAGAGCTATGACAAGAAGAATGGAAGGTGTTGGAGAGCAATGACAAGAAGAATGGAAGGTGTTGGAGAGCTATGACAAGAAGAATGGAAGGTGTTGGAGAGCTATGACAAGAAGAATGGAAGGTGTTGGAGAGCTATGACAAGAAGAATGGAAGGTGTTGGAGAGCTATGACAAGAAGAATGGAAGGTGTTGGACAGCTATGACAAGAAGAATGGAAGGTGTTGGAGAGCTATGACAAGAAGAATGGAAGGTGTTGGAGAGCTATGACAAGAATAATGGAAGGTGTTGGAGAGCTATGACAAGAAGAATGGAAGGTGTTGGAGAGCTATGACAAGAAGAATGGAAGGTGTTGGAGAGCTATGACAAGAAGAATGGAAGGTGTTGGAGAGCTATGACAAGAAGAATGGAAGGTGTTGGAGAATTATGACAAGAAGAATGGAAGGTGTTGGAGAGCTATGACAAGAAGAATGGAAGGTGTTGGAGAGCTATGACAAGAAGAATGGAAGGTGTTGGAGAGCTATGACAAGAAGAATGGAAGGTGTTGGAGAGCTATGACAAGAAGAATGGAAGGTGTTGGAGAGCTATGACAAGAAGAATGGAAGGTGTTGGAGAATTATGACAAGAAGAATGGAAGGTGTTGGAGAATTATGACAAGAAGAATGGAAGGTGTTGGAGAGCTATGACAAGAAGAATGGAAGGTGTTGGAGAGCTATGACAAGAAGAATGGAAGGTGTTGGAGAGCTATGACAAGAAGAATGGAAGGTGTTGGAGAGCTATGACAAGAAGAATGGAAGGTGTTGGAGAGCTATGACAAGAAGAATGGAAGGTGTTGGAGAGCTATGACAAGAAGAATGGAAGGTGTTGGAAAGCTATGACAAGAAGAATGGAAGGTGTTGGAGAGCTATGACAAGAAGAATGGAAGGTGTTGGAGAGCTATGACAAGAAGAATGGAAGGTGTTGGAGAGCTATGACAAGAAGAATGGAAGGTGTTGGAGAGCTATGACAAGAAGAATGGAAGGTGTTGGAGAGCTATGACAAGAAGAATGGAAGGTGTTGGAGAGCTATGACAAGAAGAATGGAAGGTGTTGGAGAATTATGACAAGAAGAATGGAAGGTGTTGGAGAGCTATGACAAGAAGAATGGAAGGTGTTGGAGAGCTATGACAAGAATAATGGAAGGTGTTGGAGAGCTGTGACAAGAAGAATGGAAGGTGTTGGAGAGCTATGACAAGAATAATGGAAGGTGTTGGAGAGCTATGACAAGAAGAATGGAAGGTGTTGGAGAGCTATGACAAGAATGGAAGGTGTTGGAGAGCTGTGACAAGAAGAATGGAAGGTGTTGGAGAGCTGTGACAAGAAGAATGGAAGGTGTTGGAGAGCTATGACAAAAAGAATGGAAGGTGTTGGAGAGCTATGACAAGAAGAATGGAAGGTGTTGGAGAGCTATGACAAGAAGAATGGAAGGTGTTGGAGAGCTATGACAAGAATAATGGAAGGTGTTGGAGAGCTATGACAAAAAGAATGGAAGGTGTTGGAGAGCTATGACAAGAAGAATGGAAGGTGTTGGAGAGCTATGACAAGAAGAATGGAAGGTGTTGGAGAATTATGACAAGAAGAATGGAAGGTGTTGGAGAGCTATGACAAGAAGAATGGAAGGTGTTGGAGAATTATGACAAGAAGAATGGAAGGTGTTGGAGAGCTATGACAAGAAGAATGGAAGGTGTTGGAGAGCTATGACAAGAAGAATGGAAGGTGTTGGAGAGCTATGACAAGAAGAATGGAAGGTGTTGGAGAATTATGACAAGAAGAATGGAAGGTGTTGGAGAGCTATGACAAGAAGAATGGAAGGTGTTGGAGAGCTATGACAAGAAGAATGGAAGGTGTTGGAGAGCTATGACAAGAAGAATGGAAGGTGTTGGAGAGCTATGACAAGAAGAATGGAAGGTGTTGGAGAGCTATGACAAGAAGAATGGAAGGTGTTGGAGAGCTATGACAAGAAGAATGGAAGGTGTTGGAGAGCTATGACAAGAAGAATGGAAGGTGTTGGAGAGCTATGACAAGAAGAATGGAAGGTGTTGGAGAGCCATGACAAGAAGAATGGAAGGTGTTGGAGAGCTATGACAAGAAGAATGGAAGGTGTTGGAGAGCTGTGACAAGAAGAATGGAAGGTGTTGGAGAGCTATGACAAGAAGAATGGAAGGTGTTGGAGAGCTATGACAAGAAGAATGGAAGGTGTTGGAGAGCTATGACAAGAAGAATGGAAGGTGTTGGAGAGCTGTGACGAGAAGAATGGAAGGTGTTGGAGAGCTATGACAAGAAGAATGGAAGGTGTTGGAGAGCTGTGACAAGAAGAATGGAAGGTGTTGGAGAGCTGTGACAAGAAGAATGCGCTTGAAATAAATATAGGAAGAGAACCAATCAAAAAAAAATTATCAAAGATTAAAGTATGTCAGAGATGAATATACAAATTTATGGAAGAAAGAAATTTTGAATAGGAAATAGTAGAAAAGAGAAAGATAGAACTAAATCTTTTGTTTAAGTTTGTAAACATTGAAAGGAAGCATAACGACAGCAAAGAAATAAATCGAAAGTCTCAGAGTTTGTGCACAAAAAAGAGGAGGTTGAAATTAGTCCTTGAGCATACCGCTGCCACGAGTGTCCTCAGATCAAGAAAAATACCTAGCTCTGCTGGGTGCGTGATCTTTGTAGGATCGATGGCTGAGTGCATGAGGTGACATGTACGGTGTGTTGTCTCTTGAGGCGGTACAGTGTCGTGGGGTCGAACCCACCCTGGCCTGCCGCAGTTTGGTAAATAATATATATATAAAATAATATAAATATATATATATATATATATATATATATATATAATATATATATATATATATATACATAATATATATATACATATTATATATCATATAATATATATATAATATATATATATATAATATATATATATATATATATATATATATATAAATTATATATATATATATATATATATATATATATATATATATATATATATATATATATATATATATAGGGTGAGGGGCTCTTGATCTAGGAAATTGGATCTGTGCTCCAAATCCCCGAATTAAGCCTGAATACCTTCCATCCCCCTGCCCCACAGGAGATGTATAATCCCTAAAGGTTTAGCGCACCCCATGTTAATAATAATAATAATAACAATAATAATAATAATAATAATAATAATAATAAATAATGTGCCCTAGTAACCATGAGGGTTATCAGCACTGATCATCTTCCCTCCCCTCCCGTAACAGTGCCAGTCTACATGCACGGTGCCAGCCAGACACTGGCAGTAAAGACCTTCGTTTTAAACCTGTCTGATCTCTCGTACTGAGGCTGTCCCACTGGTTCTCCGTTACTATTTCAATAAATTTAAAGATACTCAATAACAACCCACATGGAGACAGAAACACAGAAGATAAACTCGTCTGTATATTTCGATTCTCTTCTGGGATCCTCTTCAGCTGAAGAGGACCATTGACCATTGGCAAGTGTTTATTGCACTTTAGTGATCCAGACTTCAAGATATTTAAGCATCTTGTTTCCCTAAAATTCAAATAAAGATGTAAGCCCTAAGTTCAGCCCATATGTGAGGTGGGATCAATATACTTATGCGTGAGTATGCATCTGTACATGATACATAAAATATGTTTTGCATATGTATATACATACACACAAAACCAACATACATGCATACATACACAAATCCATATGCAAGAGTGTACAGAAATACATGCATAACCAGCCCGTGGCCTGGTGGCAAAAGCTCTCGCTTCACACGGTGAGGGTCCGGGTTCCATTCCCGGCAAAGGGGTGGAAACATAGGGCCTGTTTCCTTACACCGGTTGTCTATGTTCACCCATCAGTAAAATGGGTACCTGGATGTTAGTCGACTAATGTGGTCGCATCCTGGGACAAAACTGACCTAATTTTCCCGAAATGCTGGCATAACAAGCGGCTTTCTATATAGTAGTATGTCACTGATGTCAGCTAGGACTGTATACCTTGTACATTACTTGTAGTAAATAAAGAAATTATTATTATTATATTATTATACATAAAAGTGGACACATATGTAAATACACATAAATATTTTTATATTGAGTGCGTTACTAATTTGCCTTCCCTGCGGGGTTTATGATATACAGGGAGCGTTTCTCGGATCGTGCAGTGACAGCTATATATGTAATTAGTAGTCTTCAATACTACGATGCTCATCACCTGCTCCCAGACTGAGGGACTGATTACCTCTGCTTCTACTGTCTCTTGTAAGCAAAGTAACATTTATGAAGGGATTCAGGGAAACCGGCGGACCGGACTTGAGTCCTGGAGATGGGAAGTACAGTGCCTGCACTCTGAAGGAGGGGTGTTAATGTTACAGTTTTAAAATTGTAGTGTGAGCGCACCTCTGGTAAGACAGTGATGGAGTGAATGATGATGAATGCTTTTCTTTTTCGGGCCACCCTGCCTTGGTGGGAAACGGCCGATGTGTCAATAAAAAAAAATATTCTACGTATCGTACTGATAAAGCCGCTGGATGGCGAAACGTCTACAAAGATACCAAGATATTGCATATGTGTCTAATTGACTCACGAAAGCGTAATAACTTATATCTTAACACATTTGCAAACAAAACACGGAACGGGTGGGGGTTGAAACCCATAGGCTCAAACTCCACCCATTCCGTGGTTTATGGATCTAATTTTTCATCTTGTCGGTATTGCATACCATTGACGTGCAACCTTTGGTGATCGTTGTCGTATTCCTCACGCGAGTTGTGCATCTTCCTTCAGTTACGACAAGCGGGCAACCTCCCAACCTCCCTATACGTTCACTATGGTCAACCGCGCCTACTTCAACTCCAACCTCCAACTACAAGATTGCATTACCAAAATCCTATACAAAGAGTTGCAAATGGTCGACTTCTCTGATGTAAGTATTCGTGTTTTTACTAAAAAAAAAAATTTACTTATTACTATGTATTAATAGGTATTTTTTTTAATTGGTCTCTTGGTAAATACGATCGAGTTTGTTTTTTTAACATAATGTTAAAATGTCTTTTTTGCATATTATATTAAACATCGTTAAATATTTTAATAAGAAACACTCTCCATATTTTAATATACGGATACACTACATTTTGTAATATATTCTCAAAAAAATGTTGAGGATCCTAAAACCCTAGCACTGGAAACTCCCAATTTGGAGACCTGGGTTCGAGTACCATATTCCGCCTTTATTTTAGATTGTTATATTTACTTCATTGTGACTTTTCGGTTTGTCTAGTGCAGTGGTTCCCAAACTGGGGGTAAATTACCCCCTGGGGGTAATTTAACCATTTTTGGGGGGTAATGGAGGTGTTGGGCAGAAAAAAGTTAAATTCTGAAAATTCAAGAAAAATGCGTACCGGTATGAGGATTTTTTAATCTTTTCTAGTATTAAAGTTTTAAAGTAACCCATTATTAGTATATAAAGTAAACCAATAACAATAAACATAACAATATATCAGTATTAGAAAAGAAAATTAAGCTAAGTGTGTCGTAACTCGAAAAGTATTTTGAAGTATGCTTCAGGACAAAATCACTCAGAACCCGGGTCGACCTTCCATACAGCTCAAATCACTTCCTGAAGGCATGCTATTTCACACTGTCAGTTTATCTGGAGCATCAGCCGAGGTAGACATAAGCTGGTATGTATGTGTACTGCCCTGTGCAGTATATAGTTAGTATTTACCCACTGTTACTGTGAATTTGTAGCTATTATTAATTTTATATATAATGTATGTGTGGTTCTTACGTTTTCAATGGTTTTGCTAGGATTATCAGAGTATGCGAGGCTGTATACGTTCACGTTTAGCCATATATATCAATAATAACAACATTTTGTGAAAGGGGTAACATGCTTTATGTGGCATGTTAAATTGGGTAACAAGCTGAAAAAGTTTGGAAACCACTGGTCTAGTGTAAAGTGTAGTGTCTGGGGCCCAGTGACTCACGTCGTGTTAGGGTGAGCAGTGATTTCTGGCACAACTCTAGGCTTATAACCAGGTTTGTTCACTTAGAATACTTATTTACTTATAAGTTTTTCTCAGACTTGCCTTTTACTTCATGGCATGTCTTCTGTTTTGTTTTTGATTACCTTAAGCAACGCAGAGGATGTTTACTGTTTCAACGCTTAAGATCACTTCTTCTTATTTATCTCTAATATCTTAGGACATATATTGAATCCAGTTACTGAAAAACTTCGTTATTAACTTATACAATTATTACTTAGTGAACTACGGGCATCACTTATAAAACTAGAATCCTCAAAATGATGCAAAATGGATTTAGCTATGTTACCCAGTCATATTCCATCACGTTAAATGGGGCTCATATAAGCTGTTGAAATCCGTCAGCCTGAGCTGGGAGACTTCAGTGGAGCAGTGAGAACATCATCCGGTATTCCAGTAAGGATTCTTCAGCTATGGAAGCTTCAGAGGTTTCCTTCCAGCATATCTGCAGTTGCTATTACTTGATGCTTACAACTATTTACCTCTTGTCACTTTCTCAATATTTGTTTCACATTTGTTGGATCGCGAATGCTGTATAGCCCTTGTGGCTTAGCGCTTCTTTTTGATTATAATAATAATAATAATGGATCGCGAATACATTTATAATGTATTTCTTCTGTAATAATAGTTTATTACATCTCTGAAACAAGTTTAGATTTGATCATCACTCAGCGTCAGGGGCGTATCTACGGAAAATAGCGCCTATGGCAAGCACTGAAATTGTCCCCCTGTCCAAACATCTGAGACCCCACCCCATCTTTTAGATAACTTTACCATAAAATCAGCCCAAAAATACAAGTCAAACTGGTTAATCTTTTAACTAACAAATTATGGCACTACATGAAAATTTCAACTGCACTTTCCTTGCTTTCATTGACGCAAATTGGTCTATGTTGTGCTCAAATTCAGTTTTCTTCAGTTTCTTCTCGTTCTACACTCAGCAGAGCAAGATCACAGAGTCTGCCTTGACTCACGCTGTCAGCGTCAATGTACACAAACAGCGTCGTGACGCCATATTACGATAACTGGTTCCCATTTCCAGTGTACTGGTTAATTGTTTCTTAAATATCTTCTTACATATTTACTTCCTGATCCCTGTTGGTTCAGAATATATTTATTACAAATGCTGTGTTTATTTTTGTATTTTTTTCGTTAGTATTGCCTCTTCAGTGGCGGTCGCGTTTTGTAAACAGAGCATCAGTAATTTGTTCAGTTGTAAGCCACTACTCGACGACTTGTTGTTCTCTGTTATTGGGCAATTTCACATTTCGTGGATCGGGAATGCCTTAAACATCATTTGATGCGTTTTGACTTTAAAACGCGCCTTCCAGTTCATTAAAAGCTTACTTAACCAACATGGTTCAGCTTTAACTGACGTCATAAGTATGTGTAGAGAGTGCAGTCATGTGATTCAGTCAGCTGTGTCCACCAGTTGCCGGTCACTTAGGCTTTTTTTTTCAATGTTTATGTTAATTATTTCATGGGAAAGCCACTCAAGCCATAAGGTCTTATACAGCCAACATCTCCCAACACAGTCCAACAGTCCACAACACTTCAGCAGTCCTATTCAGGTGAGGGACGTGCAGCAGGCGAAGGCAACTGTCCAACAACCCCCAACACAATCCAGCAACCTTCAACACAGTCCAGCAACCTTCAACACAGTCCAGCAACCTTCAACACAGTTCAACAGTCACCATCACAGTCCAACAGTCACCAACAAAGTCCAACAGTCACCATCACAGTCCAACAGTCACCAACACAGCCCAACAATATCCAACATAGTCCAACAGTTACCAAAACAGTCCAACAGCCCCTAACAGAATCCAACAGCCACCAACACACAGTCCAACATCTCCCAACACAGTCCAACAGCCCCCAACACAGTCCAACAGCCCTAACACATTATTATCATTCAAACTGCCACTTTTTTCTAGGAACTGCGAAAGATAAACATATCATCACTGGCACACTGGTGACCGACAGCATGGCAGACAGAAACCTCATGACGTCATGCAACAACACATGTAAACGCATTATACAAACGAGCGTGGACAAATTCGAAAATTTCTCCACATTATTATTACTTATTTCATTATTATTGTTTATTTCATTATTATTATTTAGTTATCACTGAGAAGCACATTGTTTATTATCAGACTTATAAAGTTTCAAGAGATGTCAACGAATTCGTGTCTAGCACCACGAAGGGCCACATTACTGAGCTGGTCTCCCCGGATGACATGGTGGACGCTCTCATGGTTCTGGTCAACGCAGCTTACTTCAAGGGGACCTGGTTGTACCAATTCGACCCCTCCTCTACCACTACCAGAAAGTTCTTCGTCAGTCCTGGACAGTCTGTCGACGCTCCCATGATGAAGCTCAGGACCAGTGTTCTCAGACTAGGTATGTCTAGGGAGAGTGGTCACTTTTGTCACAGTATTGCTTCATTATAATAATATTGTTTGGGTAGACGATTTTTTCTTAAAATTATTAAAAAATTCACATCCTGTAAATTTGTTAATATGTTTCGTTTATTTCCGTGCTCTCTACTAAGAATACCTAATTCTGACTAACGAACGAACGAGAGAGTGTAGGTAAGACCCCATTTGGGGTGAGCGGGGAAGACGGGACAGGCGAAGAATAGCGCTGGAGAGGAGTGTCCATAGTCCTAGAAATAGTGCCAGAGCTTAACCCAGCAGATGAGCGCTCGTGGGATAGAACTGGAAAATCAGGAATGGTTAGCGATGTAGAAGACCCGAGTAGGAAGCTGTGCAGGCTGCATCTTGGCGGTGGGTATCTAGATCTGGAAGGTGATTGGTGGCTGGACATCGGTGGAAGGCGGGATAGGGAGGGAGGCCATTTGAAGTCTTCTGAATGCAGATTTTGACAATAGAGTAATTTTGACCAGGTGTTTGAAGTCAGCTTCTAGGTCTTCAATTAGGGCGGTTTTAGTGAGATGTCCCCAACCAGGAGCAACAGTGTACTTCATAGTTCCTTGGTGCACGTTATAGATTGCTTGAGTTACACACAACCACTGGCTGAGTGGATTACTTGTATAGATAGTGGTAAGTTCAGTTGTTCTAAATTTTATTTCTTCTTCCATTTCTTCAGGTACCGGTGTATTTTGAGGTGCTTCAGGTGGTTGTGTCTTGGCTCTCTTGGCTTTTGGTGGTTGTAGTGGAGGTGAAGGAGCTGATTCGTCAGTAGTAGAAGTGGTGATGAAAGTCGGTGATGGCTCCTCATTGGTGGGAATAGCTGGAAAGCTCTCATTGGTGGGTTCTTGGTTCGAACAGTTGTCATCGTCAAGAATCATGTCCTGCAAGTTGTCGGGTGCAGCGAAGCTGACGATTTTTGTGGTGAATTTCAGAATATCGGCTGAAGGAGAACATTCTGGGAATTTGAAGGCTGGCATGTTGTTTATTGAAAAAAGTTCATTAATAGTCTTGTTGAAGGATCCAGGTCATCTACGTTTTGCATGTGAGCAAACAACATGCAATAGTAAATTTGTGTGGAAACACCGTCAGGTAGTGGAGAAAAGGAGGTGGTGGTTGGGGGGCGTCTGTCGAGTGGCTTGCAGGATCTTGGTAGTGGCCGTCTGGAGCTTTGCTATAGCAGCATAAGTTGGGGTGTTAATGGTCGTCTTCTTGAGGTCTTCTTTAATTTTCTTGGATAGGGTTTCCTTTCGGACAGGGCATTTTGCTGCTAGTGTATGATGGTCGATCTTGCAGTTGATGCAGGTAGGTGCAGTAGTGGAGATACAGGTTCGATATCATGGCCGTCATTCCCACAAGTGGAGCAGATCTTTTTATTCTTGATGTGGCAGTCAGTGGTGGAGTGGTTGTATGAGTAGCAAGTCCAGCATGGCGATATGAGTTTGAAACGTTCTGGCCCGATCTGTCGTGGATTGATAAAATAATAAGAGATAGCCAGGCTGTCTGACAGGGCTCTGGCAGCCGTAGTGCTGTCCAGAAACGTAACCTTAAGCATTGATGAGGCGGTTGGAACCTTTGTGATGCTTTCGATAGTGGCCCAGTCATTCTGCTCTTCAGCTGAGGACTTGAGTTCTGCAGTGGACAAGACCGTGATGATCATGTCAAGACGTTTCAAGAATACAGATCTTTTAGCCTTCAAGTGAGAGAGGTCGAGATAGCAAAGCCACGTTCATCAAGGGTCTTCATCGCACGTGGTGTGAGGACTTTCTCGGCCTCCTCGTCGTCAGTGAAGGTGACGAGGAAGGCTTCCTTCATTGATGCATTGCCCAAGAACTTGACCTGCAGGCAGCTTTTCAGGGCAGCCGGAAGTGCAAGCTTCGTGACATCGTTAACTACTGAGCTCTTGGGTTTTATATTCACACTATGAGGCATCGTGGAAGGGTAGAGTCACTTGGGCACTGTAAGGGTGAGAGGCAGAGCTACTGTGACTGCACATGGCGAGGTCTACAGGTGGAATGTCCTAATTCTGACAATATTACTCAGTATGAGAATATCTGTATACGAGTGTATCATTATACCTGCGGTACTACGATGGTCCAGTATTAACTTCTCTTTCCTTCACACTTCAGCTCAGTCGACAGAGCTGGGAGCCCAAATTCTGGAATTACCTTATGCTGGCAATGTCATCTCCATGTTGCTGCTGCTGCCAGATGTAGAAGGAGAAGCAGGGTTCTCCAATATGGTGTCAGCCCTGAGTGGTGGGTCCCTCTCCAGAGTCACCAGCGGATGGAATTCACAAAATGTGCTCGTAGAGCTCCTCCTGCCCAAGTTTAAACTGGAAGACGCAGTCAGTGATGAACTGATGGAGGTAAGCAGGAGAACGAGAGAGAGAGAGAGAGAGAGAGCAAGGAACATTACAATCGACAAAAATGCGCTCCTTATGTAAGCAATAGGAAAATGACTAACGTCCTCACAAACTCACTAATTATTAAATTTTGTCTCTTCCAACAGGGCCTCAAAAACCTGGGAGTCCGTGATTTGTTCGAAGACTCCTTGGCCAACATGACGAGGTTTGTAGTGGGCAAGCCTCTCAGTGTCAGCAAGACCGTCCACAAGGCCTTAGTCGAGGTGTCAGAGGAGGGCACGGAGGCGGCGGCGGCGACGATGGCAATGGCTTCGAACGCCATGTCCAGCAAGGAAGATCCGCCTTTCCAAAGGTTCTACTGCAACAAACCCTTCATGTTCCTCATCTACGACATTCAGACCAAGAACGTCCTCTTCATGGGAGCTTACAAGTCCCCCCCTCCCCCCTGAGAGACAGTAGATAAGGAGCTGGTGGATGGAACAAAAAAAGGCAGTAGCATGGAGACGAAAGAAAAAAAATATTTTTAAAAATTATATGTCACAAGAGACAGAGATGCACATATATAGCAGTATAAGAATTTTGCAAATATAAACATAAACATATTTATATATTAAAGAAAAAAAACCAGTTGATATTTGTTTACGTTAAAATGTAGATGACCATTCAATAGCCTCGGGGTGGACGGGGGAAGAATTTGGATTGTGGACGGTTCCTTACTTTTTAGTTTTTATTAAAGAATTTTAAATTAAAACAGTGTTGATTTGGACATTATTGGCAAGTACCTATACCATAAAATTATTCTTCTTAGGGCAGGAGCTGATCCACTACGAAACTAATGAAGCTTAAGCTTGAGGGTCCGTAATCCCGGAGGGGCCCAGAAGCCACTAGTCCAAATTACTCAAAAATCTTGGGTCTACTATATGCGGAGTTTTTAAAGTAATAGCATCAATAATATAATGTAATTCATTACAAAATAATAGCTAAAATAAAAATTAAAAAGATTATTAAAGTATCATACAGGCTAGCTGATGCTGGTTGCCATGGTAACCCCATGACAGTTCAAGCTGCCTCTGGGAGAAGATTTTCTTTATTATATATAATGATTAACAACGTGAATATATAATAAATAATAATAATAATTAATAAATTATTATTATTTATTATTTATTATTATTTATATTTAATATTTATTATTATTATTATTTCATGACATTTAAATCTTGTAAAACCTTGAGTTATATTTATCTTGAGCCGAGATTATGTACACAGAGGTGTGCAAAATAACTACAGTGAAATTCCAAGCGCTCTCGTGATTTCTCACTTCATTAAGGAACAGTAAAAATAATAATAGGAAAACAGAAGACTTATAAAGCTGAAATATGACCTTACATATGACTCAGCTCATTGAGCGTGGAAGTGTTGTAAAGTTTTAACTCAGGTCATATGTCAAGAAAAAATTAAGAGTGACTTGTCAGGTCATATCTTAGTTTCATAAGTCTTCTGTTATCCTATTATTTTTACTGTTTCTTGATAACTTGAGAATTAACGAAAGCGCTTGGAAATTCACTATTTTTCACTCTGGTTATATTTCTTATTAAGACATCAGCTGTTTCTTGCAATGTTATTACACAGAGGTGTGTCTCCCAGTGTACTTACTGTTCAAGGGATTTTTATTATTACAGTGATAACTAAGTGTATTTAATGGCTTAAAGTATTTCTGACTGTTCGTGAACGGTTGTGTAGATGATAGACTAAAAACTCAAATAACCAGCCAACCAATATTTCGTACAATACTCTGCACTCTTAGATCTTTCCTACATTTAACGAGGCTTGATCTGACACTGAATCCTGCGAGTAATGATTTCCAGGACCATTAACACATATTTCATCCTATCTAACTGTTATTCATCCATCTCTCCCCTTACCCGTTCATTTAAGTCCAGCAGCCAAGAGAATGGACGGGGAATTGTTGGTAGTCCACTGTTGGTAGTCCACTGTTGGTAGTCCACTGTTGGTAGTCCCTCTTGGTAGTCCACTGTTGGTAGTCCACTGTTGGTAGTCCACTGTTGGTAGTCCCTGTTGGTAGTCCCTGTTGGTAGTCCACTGTTGGTAGTCCACTGTTGGTAGTCCCTGTTGGTAGTCCACTGTTGGTAATCCACTGTTGGTAGTCCCTGTTCGTAGTCCACTGTTGGTAGTCCACTGTTGGTAGTCCACTGTTGGTAGTCCCTGTTGGTAGTCCACTGTTGGTAGTCCACTGTTGGTAGTCCCTGTTGGTAGTCCCTGTTGGTAGTCCACTGTTGGTAGTCCACTGTTGGTAGTCCCTGTTGGTAGTCCCTGTTGGTAGTCCACTGTTGGTAGTCCACTGTTGGTAGTCCCTGTTCATAGTCCACTGTTGGTAGTCCACTGTTGGTATTCCACTGTTGGTAGTTCCTGTTGGTAGTCCACTGTTGGTAGTCCACTGTTGGCAATCCTCTGGTTTACTGAAGATCCTCATACAGGCTCTCAAGAGTGCCACCAGGAGGCAGCATTTTCCAGAATTCCAAGATGGGCCATCGAAAATGACCATAATATCGTTTCTCATATAAATTTTTATATGGTTGAAATGGGAACTCATTTTCAGACAGTTCAAATTCATCGGGAGGAATTGCAGTGTTAAAACAAAAAACACCTGATATGGTTGTTGTCCTCTTACAGATTATTTAAGATGAGTTTAACATGCTGTAAAATGTTGCAACAGAGTCATATGTTACAAGTGCGAGATGTATTAGCAAAAACATCCACCAGAGAATACTAGAAAGTCAGCCTATTGACACCTCTCAAGCATCTAGCGGTTCTATATTCTATACCACTAAGTGTACAACTAATAATGATAGCATCTGCAAGGTCATGAGGGAACAGACTCGAATAACTATCGATCAGTATTGAATTGTTACCCATGATACAACCACAGAGAAGCCTAGCGAAACATCTTTTGTTGTTTATGTCTAATAATCATAACTGTCTTCCTATTTATAAGAGGTGTTGTTGGGGGTGATAATGTCTTAAGCAGAACTACTTCAAGCTCGTCGTTATCCTTCTTGTGTTCCAGCTGACATATCTTCGTATTTATCAAAGAGTACACTAGGTCTTAATCACAGATATTATAAAGCAACAGTCTGTCACGTTTATTGCATTTGAACAGTTCTTAATTATGATGACACTGTACATAGTTCGTACTGGAGTACCTGTGACATAAGATGTCTGCTCCACATCAGTTCATATCATAGTCTGCTTTAGATCAGTTCATGTCACTGCCTGTACTAAATCAGTTCATGTCATATCTGTTCTAGATTAGTTCATGTCATAATCTGTTCTAGATTAGTTCATGTCATAGTCTGTTCTAGCTCCAATTGTTATTCCTTAGAGTTTTTACTGTCGAGATACTGAGTCATGTAAGCCATGATTAACGCTCTTTTTTTAAGAACAGTAAAACATTATCCTCAATTGTTAGGAAATCAGCCACACCGGAAGGCCATCCATGTTCTTCTTATGTTAAGGAACGGGCCGCGGGGGTGTTGACCCTGGAACACCATCCTGGTAGACTCCAGGTAAGCAGACACTAACATTTACACTAGCAATCATGCCATTGATAATATTGTACAGTGAGTTAGTTAAATGACAGAAAGGATTTAGAGTATTTACTAATTTAGTTCTTTATTTTGATGTCTTTATGGAACTCTTATTGGTTCGGATAACTTTGCTTGTTCATAAAGTGTGTCAGGGGCGAAGGAAACGTTGGTACAAGTAACAGGAAAGAATTCAATTGACCACTTGATCAGGAGCGAGCTCAGTACCAGCCAAGACCACCTTTTTGACTGTCCAAATATGTCGTTCCATCAGCCTCGGTGGCCGGTCTCAGAACAAGCCTCGTTAACAATGATGGAACAATTATAGTAATAAGAAATATTAAGAGACACAACAAAATAAAGACAAGTGAACTGAATGTAAGTAGAAGTTCACAACGTTTACCTACTCACACGTTCTTAATATAAACGTATGTAACAGGATAGATAGAGGACTCACAGGTAAGAAACCACTCGGGGACTGGCGTATGTAACAGGTGGCAGTACCTCCATGGTTATTTGTTTAATATAAAAGTTATTTTGGTTAAGTAAATGTCTTTGTAAACTAAAAGTATCATTTATTCTCGTAACAATAAATGTATCAATAAAATTTATATTTAACAATAATCATTGTCTTTTATATAGAGTACTGACTAGCTCACTCCCCACAGCTATCTTATTTAAAAATATCTAACTTGTAAATGTATTTTTAAAATATAAGTATATGTTTACAACATTGTTTAAGTATCAGCTGTAAATATCAAATAACATATACACTGTTTGTCCAAAAATCGTTGACTGCGTAAAAATATTTAAAGTTTATTAAGTCAGCAAAGGTTCACAAGGGCTGCATGTAGATTATGTACCATGAGACATATTAATCCTTAAAATAAGAATTAATGTAAACTCTCAGCATCCATAGACTGGTAGACATACATCTACTGGTGGATAAGACCTTGCTGCATGTAGTTCCAGGTTGAAAGCCTTTCTGTACACAAAGGCATGTAACGTGTTCACTACTAGTAACGTGTTCATTACCAGTAACATGTTCACTACCAGTAACATGTTCACTACCAGTAGAGAATATTTTATTCACTAAAACAAAGATCAAAGCAAACTTTCAGCGTATATACACTTCTCGGTGTACATAACCTTGGTTCAAATTACGTATATCTATTATCGGTCTATACTAAACTGAAATAATAATTAATAATAATAATAATAATAATAATAATAATAATAATAATAATAATATTATAATAATAATTTATAATAAATTCATCTACAGTTGTTTATATAAAAAAGATAAGAACTTCAGGTTGGTCACTGCTGGTGTACTGAATGTTCAAAACGAACTATTAGGATACACAACGTCATATAATCTACATAAAATATGAAAATAATTACAAAGACAATAATAAAAAACACAAACAGTGCTAGATATAAATATATAGGGTATGGGGGCTCGCTGGAGTAAGCCTATACACAAAGTATTAAGACTAGGCAAAAACGTCTATAACCTTAACAAAAAATTAGACATGAAACTGACCGGAATTAAAATAAATTAACATAGGAAAGCTTTTCCAATAATATTTGTAGTGTAAACTGTCATGACTAACTTACTAAAAAATTATAATCACGACTAGTACAAATAAATATTAAATAAAATTACACCAAGACAACTTGAATACATTGATTTTACTAGGGGAAACTGTCATTGCTAAAAAATTAAAGTGTATCACAAAATTATACTTTAGAAATACACTTACTTGTTCAACTTGAAAATACACCTTCTTGTACCAGGGAAATAACACTGATTACTAAGTGGAGTAAATTACCCCTCGGTAATTAACTGCGACAAATACACCTCGGTGTACATACTGTGAGAAATACACCTCTGTGTACATAACTGAGAAATACACCTCTGTGTACTTACTCTGAGAAATACACCTCTGTGTACATACTGCGACAAATACACCTCGGTGTACATACTCTGAGAAATACACTCTGTGTACATACTCTGAGAAATACACCTCGGTGTACATACTGTGAGAAATACACCTCTGTGTACATACTCTGAGAAATACACCTCTGTGTACATAATGTGAGAAATACACCTCGGTGTACTTACTCTGAGAAATACACCTCTGTGTACATACTGTGAGAAATACACCTCTGTGTACATACTGTGAGAAATACACCTCGGTGTACTTAATCTGGGAAATACACCTCTGTGTACATAGTCTCTGAGCAATGGTTCGGTACAATGTTTTGTTTATTTAATAATTTGTTTAATTATTTATAACGGTAACTGTACAGCCAGATTAAAAATGAATGGGAAATAATGAGGAGTTCGCTGCTAATAACGATATTTATATTAAATTGAAAAGAAGATAACTCGTAACTTAGGTAGAAATATTGCTACTACACGAAACATGGTTAGTGTGCTACATCTTCAGCTCTTCTTTGGCAGATTGTACTGTTGTCTTTAGTGAGTTTCTTATAATTTATTAATTTTGTATTTTTTTGGGTTTTGTCACTTCAGATTAACTAACTTTTCTATATTATATATTTTTTGCATAGTTTCTAAGCAGATTTAGTAGGTGGTGGTGCTGGTGTTGTTAGTGGTGGTGGTGTTGCTGGTGGTGGTGTTGTTGCTGTTGGTGGTAGTGATCGTGTTATTGTTGTTGGTGTTAGTGATGGTGGTAGTTATAGAGGTAATGGTGGTGGTGTGGCGATAGTGATGGTTTTAGTGGTGGTGGCAGTGGTGGTACTATGGTGATGGTGGTGGTGATGGTGGTGGTGTGGTGGTGGTGGTGGTGGTGATGGTGGTGGTGATGTATACTTCACCGTATGCATATCTTGCGGGTTATCCACTCATAGGCTACTAGATTATCTAAAGTTAAATATAAAGAAATATGAACTATTCTTCTCACACATATATAAATATTTTTTTTATATTACCCATGTCTATAACTGTCTATGTCTGCATCTCTGTCACTATCAGTCCTAACTTATCAATAGTCCAGGACGGATCGAAACGTAGTCATGAGATTCCGCTCTCTTAGCGTCGGGTTTTTGGTGAGCCTTGCCTCAAGCAGTTATGACTTTTTTCTTCTCTCACTTTGGTTAAATAATGTTAAACAATAAATGTTTCCCTTTCATCCCTATGTTTATGTTTAATTTCTCCGCCCACCACCTCCTTTCCTGCTGTCTCTCGGGGGGTTCTTGTAAGCTCCCATGAAGAGGACGTTCTTGGTATGGTTGTCGTGAATGAGGAACACGAAGGGTCTGACGCAGTGGAACTTTTGGACTAGAGGATGTGCCTTGCTGAAGCTGGACCTTGTGTACGCTATCACTGCTGTCGCCGCTGCCGCCTCTGTACCCTCCTCTGACACCTCAACGAAGGCCTTGTGGATGGTCTTGCTGACGCTGAGATGGTTGCGCACTACGAACTCCGTCAGGTTGGCCAAGGTGCCGTTGAAAAGGTCGCGGATCCCCAGGTTCATGAGGCTCTGTCGAAGAGAGACAAAAAAAGTAGTTATTAGTTTGTGTAGTGAATGAAGTTAGTCACCTGCCCACTGAATGCATCTTTTTTTAATTATTATTCTCTTCCTCACCTTCTTTCTAATAGGCTTTACTCTTCCAGTTTGTCTCACAGTGAGATAGTTTACTGGCTACTTTTTACAGGTTTCCTTTTGTATGCATAGTCTGCCATCACCATCTGTGGGTCACACACAGGCGCTGTCAGTTTGATTCCTGCCTATCTTAGTCTAATTTCTGTCCACACAAGTACCTGGGCATTGCGCTTTCAAATTTCATACCATTTCCAATTTTTTTGGTGTGAGACTTTGTGTTACTAACACCTATTCCTTGTTTATTATAGGTTTCAGTTTTGTCTTTAACGTAATATTTCCTGTTAGCTCACAGGCCATTTAATTTGGCTTTGAGCAACTATAGTGTTACATGCGTGTAACATCATCTTGTGATCTTCATTCCAGCACATGGGTCTGTCTGATCCCTCATGCGAGTGGAATGGTTATCAAGTGGATAAGCAGCCTTCACCTGTACATCCACCATCCTCATGTGTTCATACTGTACAAGTCCATCTTTATGAGGAAAATCACCTCTCCTCCCCTCCTTCCCCTCCCTTCCCCTCCCGCTCACTGCTTAATTCACCTAAAGTGGCAGAATTACTGTTGAATAAGTTACGTAGTGGTTTAAGAAAACACTTGAGCAAACAATAGGACATATTTATCAGAAAATGTTCCGGTTCTGGGACCCTAGAAGTGATCAACGTCTCAGAACCGGAACGTTTTCTAATAAATATGTCCTACTGTTTGCTCAAACGTCTTTTTTAAACCAATTTGTCGGTATCGATTACCAGGTTTATACGATGTCAAGCACACCAGCTCTCTTCCTACACCCAGCCAACACTTGGAATCTTAACATTTTGTAGCTGATGTTTTCTAACATGTTTATGATTCGTAGAATATAGCATCATTAAGCTGCGAGGTGCACCACCGCTGCTGGTACATACAGTGGCTTCTCAACATTCAACACCTGCTAGCTTTTTACCACCATTATCATCCCCCGTCGTTCCTGCTCTACTGGATCATCCACCTCCGCTTTGCTCTTACTTTAAGACTCTTGGGTTTGGTAGTATTGACAGGTGACTATCCTGTGATTCCTGTTATTTCTCAATTATCTGATTTAACAAGTATTTTATTTTAAATGTTTTTTGCTTGTACTGGTTATTCATGCTACTTTTCATTAATGTTATTATCTTTGTGTTATAGTGTTCATTTATGGTACGCATCTATCATGGATATTTTATGTTATTATTTTCTAATTTGGATTTTCCTACGCAAGGGAGGTGAGCCTCCCTCTCGTTTCCCTGACTCTCTCTCTCTCCTGCTTACCTCCTTCAACTCATTATTGAGCGTCTCTTCCAGTTTAAACTTGGGCAGGAGAAGTTCAACTGGCACAGTTTGGGAACCCAATCCGCTGGTGACCCTGGACAGGGACTCGCCACTCAGGACTGACACCATGTTGAAGAACCCTGTCTCTCCTTCTACATCTGGCAGAAGCAGCAACATGGAGATGGCATCACCGGAATAAGGCAGCTCGAGGATTTTTGCTTGTAGCTGCGTGGAGTGGACTGAAATGTGAAGGAAAGGGAAGTTAATACTGGACCATCTTAGAATCTCAAGTGTAGTATGGCACTGGTATACTCATGTGTTCACAGTTTGTAGTACTGTCACAATTATATATTTTGGTACGAAGGAGAAGAGAAATGAAGCATAAAAAATAAGAGAGGCTGAGACATATATCAGCAGACTTTAAGTAAATATAAAAGTCTACATATTTAAGGAAAAAAAGCCCAATCAAATATGTCTTATTGTTAAAAAAAGTCGACACGACACACACACACAAATATATATATATATATATATATATATATATAATATATATATATAAATATATATATATATATATATATATATATAATAATAATATATATATATAATATATATATATATATAATTATATATCATGGGTGGTGAATGTTGCAGTGAGAAGGCTGGAGGCAGTGATGTCGTGCCTGAGAGCAATGTGTGGTGTGAATATAATTCAAAGAATTCGTAGTTTGTAAATTAGGAGGAGGTGCGGGTTTAACAAAACTATTATCTAGAAGGCTGAGAAGGGGTTATTGGGGTGATTCGGACATGTAGAGAGGATGGAACGAAATAGAATGACTTCGAGAGTGTATAAATCTGTAGTAGAGGGAAGGCGGGGTAGGAGTCGGCCTAGGTAAGGTTGGAGGGGGTAAAGGAGGTTTTGTGAGCGAGGGGCTCGGACTTCCAGCAGTCATGCGTGAGCATGTTAAATAGGAGTGAATGGAGACAAATAGTTTTTAGGACTTGACGTGCTGTTGGAGTGTGAGCAAAGTAACATTTATGAAGGGATTCAGGTCAACCGGCAGGCCAGATTTGAGCTTCGGAGATAAGAAACGCAGTGCCTGCACTCTGAAGGAGGGGTGTTAATGTTAATTTTATAACTGTAGTGTAAACGCGCCTCTGGCAAGACTGATGGAGTGAATGATGAAAGTTTTTCTTTTCCGGGCCACCCTGCCTTGGTGGGAGACGGTTGATGTGTTATATTTTTATATTTTTCTGTATTTGATTTTATTACCACCTTGCACTATTCGTTTTGCTTGTGTTGAGGGAAAGTGGCTGGACTCGTGTGATATACTGAAACATTTCTCAGATCGCCTTATTATGCTGTAGTAATAGTTAAGTGTAGTGGTGATAGTTGAGTGTAGTGGTGAATGAAGGGAGCCTCTGCCGCAGTTACACTTACACACACCACCTTACCTAGCCTGAGACTGTCGCAGTTACACTTACACACACCACCTTACCTAGCCTGAGACTGTCGCAGTTGCACATACACACACCACCTTACCTAGCCTGAGACTGTCGCAGTTACACTTACACACGCCACCTTACCTAGCCTGAGACTGTCGCAGTTACACTTACACACACCACCTTACCTAGCCTGAGACTGTCGCAGTTGCACATACACACACCACCTTACCTAGCCTGAGACTGTCGCAGTTACACTTACACACACCACCTTACCTAGCCTGAGACTGTCGCAGTTACACCTACACACACCACCTTACCTAGCCTGAGACTGTCGCAGTTACACTTACACACACCACCTTACCTAGCCTGAACTGTCGCAGTTCACTTAAAACCACCCCCTTACCTCCTGAGACGTCGCGTTACCCTACATAACCCCTTTACCTAGCCGGGGGACTGCGCAGTTACACTTAAACCCACCTTACCTGCCTGAGCTGTGCGTTACACTACACACACCACTTACCTAGCCGAACTGTCGCATTACACATACACCACCATTTACCTAGCCTGAGATGCCACAGTTATATTTTCACACACCCCCTTTCCCACCCGAGACTGTCGAGTTACACTTCACACACCACCTTCCCTACCTAACTGTCGCTTTGCACATAACACCCACCTTTTCCTACCTGAGCTGTCGCAGTTACATTTAAAAACACACCCCTTATCTAGCGAGACTGTCGCAGTTGCACATACCAAACCACCTTACCTCCCTGAGACTGTCGCAGTTACATTCACACGCCCCTTTACCTACCCTGAGACTGTCGCAGTTCACTTACACACACCACCTTACCTAGCCTGGACTGTCGCGTTACACTTACAACACCACCTTACCTAGCCTGAACTGTCGCAGTTACATTTACACACCCACCTTCCCTAGCCTGAATTGGTCTTGAGCTTCATTGGGACATCGACAGGTGGCTGGAGTACGAAGAAACTCTGGGTTGTGGTGGAGGAAAGGTTGAACTGGTACCCCCAGGTCCCTTGAAGTAACTGCGTTGACCAGCACCATGAGAGCGTCCACCATGTCATTGGGGGGACCAGCTCAGGAAAGCGACCCTTAGTGGTGCTAGAACGAACTCGTTGTATCAGTCGAGGGGCGCATAGTTTGACAAAAAACAATATCCTTTCAATGATAAACAGAAAAGCAAAATACGGAAATTTTTCAAATTATGCCTACGCACGTTTTTATCACCATAGGGCGTTTTTATACAGCTGAACATTTTGGTCTGGAATATTTTTGATAATTTCCCTTTAAAGCTATAATACGGTATTTTCAAGCAAATTGCGCAAAATGTTGTTTTTAAAAATTCTGATCTAGGAAAAGTGAAAACAGAACGATGGGGCAGAAAACAGAAAATTGAGAAATCGAGATAACAGAAGCAAAAAACAGCCGATGTTTTAAGATTTTAAAATATGTTCCTAAAGTAAAGGAAATTTTCTAAAAAATACAAAAGTAGTAAAGAAAACCAAAATAGTCAGCATAATGAAAGCAATGGTCCCGATATCAACATGGACCATGGAACACGTGGACATTAAAAAGCTGAGTGAAAAATTTTTTTTAATTGATAATACAACAGAATTACAGAAAAAATACATATTGGCTGTGACTGTCATTCCTGGTCCGGCAAATGTGGAACAAATATCGAGATGATAGGAAGAAAGTAGACACAATAGTCTATCAACTAGAAGATGAACACTAAGCTTATTCAGCCTAGTATTGAGGGCAATAGTTTTGTAAGTATTTTTTTTTCCAGTTGCTGAATGCAATATGTACACTGAGATATTAGAGAACAGGAGGGAGGGTAGCAAACTTCAATTTTGAAACACTAAGCATCGCCAGCAGTATTTATGGTCTTAAGATAACAAGAGAGAAGATATACCAGCATCCACAAAGTAAGTCTGGAGAAATTACACAATATAAATAGACGTTCTTACTGAATAAACCTGGTCGCTATTAATCCAGAGTGGTGCCCTAAATCAGGATAAGATTAATGGGTCCTTAACACCACTGTCTATACAAATTGAAATTTCACAACGAAGTCATAACAATTTGCGTGTGGATCGAATTCATATTTTCAGCCTGGGAGTCTTTGGAAATAAATGATATAAAATACCGACACAATGGAAATATTAACACTTAAAGCAGTATAATGTGATCCATTATTGACAACGTTTCGCCCACGCAGTGAACTTTATCAAGTCACAAACAGATCTGTTTGCGACTTGATAAAGTCCACTGTGTGGGCGAAACGTTCTCAATAAAGGATCACATTATACTGCTTAAGTGTTTATATTTCCACTGGGAGTCTTTCATGATAATCCTGGTTAAGGGTTTCAATTTTTTTTTGAGAACATATTAATATATATCAATGCTATTATAATACAAAAGAAATATTTTGCAATTACACAAATTAACGACGTACAAAAGAAGATACTCGACCGTATACCAACAGAAAAATAATGATAAAAAAATATATACCATTAACCAATTAATACAAATTAATAAGCATTAGTTTTTAAATATAGACTTACATCGGAGAAGTCGACAATATGCAGCTCTTTGTGGAGGATGTTAGTAATGCAAGGTCGAAGGTGAAGAATGTTGTCGAAGTAGACACGGTTGGCCATGTTGAAGGTGTACTGAGGGTTGGAGGCGGCCCGCTGAGCGTACCTGCACGAGGAAGATAACAACAATCTTATAACTCTAGACTTTCAATTATAGTCTGAAATAAGAGTAACTTTTGTCGTGTATAAGTATCAAATGTAACTGTCAGGCTGACTGACGCTGTACGACACTACCGGGTCAGCGCCTTCTGGTGAATGTAATAATCTACGAAAGTGAATTAGACTCTGTGTAGGAATACCAATCCTGCGTAACAGTGACAATGGTGTGTTAGGTAACACTAAACGTCATAAAGATGCGCCTACTGTTTGTTCATTTATATGAAAATCGTGACTTCCGACGTAGTTGGCTTAATAATTTTTTTTTTTTTTTTAAGGAATAATGTTGTGGGAGTGGGATTACTGTGTATAACTGCGGAATTATAGCTGTTCCCGTAATGTATCGACTTCTTTAATATATAATAATTATTTCCCCGTGGAATAGTTGATATATTCACCAACTGTACCACTAACGTGCGTGCCACTCTGTAAAGATATATATGCTCCCTACACTCTTATTTTCCGAAGTGTTTCTTTAGTGTAGTTGGTAAGTGTAATAACTCCAGGAGAACTTAAGAATGCAACACTCTATTGGGAATTTTAAAATAATTATGATAAAATACAACAGGACGCAAAATAATTGTGATATATTAATTAAAACAGACGACAGTCACGAGAATAACTCTAAACATGCAAATGTAAATGTTAGTAGCACACTAAACGATATTTAAAATTTAAATTATGTAATTAAGCCATACATTTCAGAAGTTGAGATTTTAATAAAACTTCTCAAACATGAAACACATCCATATGAAATTTAGTTTCACTACGCACGATTGTTATCCCAGCATAAACTGCGATTTTCTTCCAGCTTAACATGACACCCATTTCTTCCACAAGCTTAAAAGTTGTCCTCTTGTTCTGCCAGTTGCCTTAAATCCCTTCTCGTACTTCGTACTCTTTGTGGTTTGTCTCTGAACTTTTTATATTTTGTATAAGGGTTTATTTAAATGTGACTCATACAATATCAGTAAACTCCAGCATGAGCGTAACATGCCTGACCTGAGGCACACATACTTCTATGTAGCTCTAACATTTTCCAGTTTTATGGTCTACCAAACTCCAGCTTGGGTCTACCAAACTCCAGCTTGGGTCTACCAAACTCCAGCTTGGGTCTACCAAACTCCAGCTTGGGTCTACCAAACTCCAGCTTGGGTCTACCAAACTCCAGCTTGGGTCTACCAAACTCCAGCTTGGGTCTACCAAACTCCAGCTTGGGTCTACCAAACTCCAGCTTGGGTCTACCAAACTCCAGCTTGGGTCTACCAAACTCCAGCTTGGGTCTACCAAACCTCTAGCTTGGGTCTACCAAACTCCAGCTTGGGTCTACCAAACTCCAGCTTGGGTCTACCAAACTCCAGCTTGGGTCTACCAAACCTCTAGCTTGGGTCTACCAAACTCCAGCTTGGGTCTACCAAACCTCTAGCTAGGGTCTAACACACTAAAGATAGTATATTATTTTTAATACATTTGTATCCATAAAACCAAAAGCTTTCGTAAAATTCGTCAGTTTCATATGACTGACACTCACAAGTATATTTAAGCAAACTGGTTATAATACATATTATCACCCCAATATATTTCTCTTCGTCACATGTGTTCGGAACACTGTGATCCTGCCCCAGCACATCATGCTCTTACAAACTGAAAGACACAAATTTTCTACTTCGTCTCCTCAGTCTATCAAGGTATTTTTGGAATGCTTTAAAGTAATTTTGATATTTTATTTATAAATATTTTTTGCCCCACTAGCACTTTCGTATAACTCTGTGTGTGTGTGTGTGTTTGTGTGTGTGTGTGTGTGTGTGTGTGTGTGTGTGTGTGTGTGTGTGTGTGTGTGTGTGTGTGTGTGTGTGTGTGTGTGTGTGTGTGTGATAAACAGGTATTTGTGGTTATGTTTTGTTTGTTCTTATGTTGACAAGCTTCATACAGCAGTACATTCCCGTATTTAATAAAGAAGTCACAGCATTTACTTACATAACTTCAAGTGCTCGCCACAGCCTCAATGTTGATGTTTTGCCAGTAACCCTGAGACTGGCTTCCAACTGGGTCTTTGTATTTCCCGCTGACCCGAAGTAAGTCAGGGTAAGTGCTGTCCATATGCTGTAGGGGGAGAAAAAGAAGTTCTTGGCTGTGCCCTTGCTGGAGAGCTGTCTGTAGAGGTCGAAGCCGAAGTCGCTGATGCCACTGAGGTCTGTGTTAAAGCTTCTGGAAGGGTTCCTGTTGTTGTCAGCAAAGCAGTGAGGGACGGTGCTACCCACTGTCGTCACGACCGCAGTCATCAGAGCAACCACTGACACAGCTATCCACCCCATAACTGCTGCTGCAACACAACAAAGAAACATTTATTTTGGAATGAAAATAAATCTGTAGGCAAATCTACATTATGTGAAATGCTAAGCTAACCGACTTTTTATGCTGAATCGCATTAATCCAGCTTGCCTATTTTATTGGTCTTGTGTAAATTAGGTTCGTGTGTATTGAGTTGAAGTGTATAGATACAACCATGAGTGTTCTAGCTAACCACTACAGGTCATTTGCAAATGTCATAATTGGGTAATGACGTTCCATCAGCTGAATACAAAGGATGACAGCCTCATTGTGCACTATGTTGAATCATGAACAACATAGCTGCTCTGTTTAACCATTAACAATATGTTCATAATGGCATGAATGGGCAATCAAATAAGAAAACTGATATTAAGATATGCAGAAAAACTTAAATTATCATAAGGCTAAATCTGAAGTTCTTCGTGAATTCCCTTTCACTAGACCTCCGGAACATCATAAGTCGATGCCCCGGCTAAACTAGCCCTGAACGTAAAGAAAGTCGAATTAAAATTTGACCTCTAAAACAGAAGCTTAAAAATACATTGTTAGAAATAACTGGCATAAACCTTGGTAATAGATACCGTCAAACTGGTTTAGATACATGAGCAAACACTAGGACATATTTATTTGAAAACAGGAGTTACTTAATCCCATTATTAACCCGTCCTAATCCCAATATGGTATTCTTCAGGTCACCATGTGTCACATGCACCTCACTCTCCGCCTATATATACTGTCTTTTTAATCGCTGCATGTTAGATGTGATCAAGGTCCCAGGACCGAAATGTTTTCTAATAAATGTCCTAATGTTTGCTTACGTGTCTTTCTAAACCAGAAATAACTGGCAAACGAGACTGTTAGAAAATAACTAGTAAACAAAGTTTGAAGAGTGTTGAGCAGTGTAGAGCAGTGTAGAGCAGTGTAGAGCAGTGCAGAGCAGTGCAGACAGGAACTAGCAGAGCCACTGGTGAAGAGCAGTCAATACATGAACCAACACAGTCACTGGTATTTCGAAATGTGTTAAATATAATTTGCTGACGGAGAATGCATGAAGATTAATGAACTGCAAGAGTTATAACGGCTAGACTAAGACTAAGCTTCCAGTATCTTTGCCAGTTCGGTTTCATGAAGCTTAATGTGTAGACAGAGGCAGGGCCGCACAACAGAACACTAAAGTTTAGATTGTCTAAATGACTGTACAGATTTAGTGACACATCCAAACAAACTACAGGAAATTGCAAATTTCTTCATTGTCGACGATATGAAGTCGTATCTTGAGACTAGTCACGCGAGGCACAAACTAGGTGAATGAGCTCTTAAAATAGTAGCCTAATAAATCACTAAATATTTTTACTGGTTACTGTAAGATACATGAATGTGTTAAGATTGTATTTATATATTGCATTAGGTAGATAATTACTTATAAAATAGTTATTATTCAAAACAACCTCTGTGAAAAAAATAGTGAACATCCAAGCGCTTTCGTAATTTCTCACATTATCAAGGACATGATAATGTAAGACATCATGAAAGAGCTTAGAAGTTCAGTATTTCACAGTGGTTGCTTTGCATATTGTGATATCACCTCTGAGCTTGGGATTTTATTGGCAAGGTTTTTTCCTATAGTGGAGAAGAAATCATTGAGTCTGTTTGCTGTTTCTGTTGGTGGGAGTAATCTTATTGCAAAAACGGTTATTATATATAAAATGAAACTGATATCTTCATGTAAATAAGTACGCGCATTTGGGTCTGCCAAACACTCCATTTTTTTCCGTTGTATCTCACAGGATGAACTGCGAGTGAATAAGGACGCTTCATGTGAGCCCAGGCGTCGTTAGAGATCAGACTACTAGCAGCTGGTAAGTTCATGTTTTTAATGTATTTGTCTTGGAAAATCAACTGACTTGTGTCTTGTGGCGGTGGCACGGTAAACAAAATTGAACGGCTGGTTCTGTGATCCTGGTGACGGCGGTGTTTGCCAACAAGAGTGTGAATGTTGGTTAGGCCAATGAGTACATAACATTAGCACTGTTTGGCGAGTAGATGAGTTTTATCTGACAGTCAGCTGGCGAGAATGTCGAGTCTCACCTTATCTAAACACTTCGATTTGATCCAAACACTTTGAAAACGTACTTAACACTTTTATCCACTTATGTGTATATGGCAAAGTTAAACCGCGAACACCTACCTGATCACTTTAAAACGGGTAGAGTGATGAATCAGAGGGGACGATGACGCCACTCCTTTAAATGACAGTGAGCAGGGAATGTGGATGTACACAGACAACAACAGTGAATGACTCTGTGCTCTCACACTTCCTCTATATATACGCTACATCCAGCTCCGCTCCCTACTCGCCTGTCTCCCTGCCTTCCTGCCTAAATGGCGTTTTTGTCCTACTGCCTTTCTCTTTCCCTGATTACTACTCTGTTTCCCTTCATAGTTCAGTGTTTGTTTTCTTGCTTCCACCCCCCACCCCCTCCCACTTACCTGCCTGCCTGTACTAACCTGTTTCACCCCCGGGATGCCAACCTTCACCAGTTGCTGACATCCATGAGGCCTGACACGGTTACGTAAGCCTGATGGTGAACATGATAAATGGTGGAATAACCCTTGGTAATAAATACCGACAAGTTGGTTTAGAAAGACACGTAAGCAAACACTATAACATATTTATTAGAAAACGTCTCGGCCCTGGGACCGTGATCAAGGTCCCAGGACCGAAACGTTTTCTAATAAATATGTTATAGTGTTTGCTTACGTGTCTTTCTAAAACATGATAAATGGTAAATTATTTCGTAAAAAGAAAATACATTATTACATTAAGACAGAACGTGTCATGATACTGTTTGAAAAGCCCTAAGGATCAACAAAATAGTCCAAAACTTTGCTTACAAACTACTGCTTTAAATCAATGATGTATTGGTTGAGGTATATGCAATTTTCCGGCATGATTTTGATATTTCTATGAGTAACCGTGTGTAGTATTTGAATCATACTCTATTTCCAAATAGGCGAATGAGATTTCTTTATCTCTTGGGACATAATGACTCAAGGAGTTCCCAAGGACAGCTATTGCTGAGCAATAGTTTCAGGAGAGCGAGCGATGACATGAGGAAAAATAGATGTAACACTGTGTTCTAGGAATGTACAGCAGCTTGGAAATCCCCAGGATCTGGTCCACGGGTGGAGAGTCACTGACGTCACGCACGATAGCTTCACAAATTTCCATGGGCTTGGTTTTACAACTTGCGTAACTTTCCCAATGTCGAGTATGTATGGTTGCCAGCTGAACCATCCAGTGGCAGAGTTTGTGCAATGTTGTGTTGTTGTTGTTGGGAGGTCGACAACACCACTAGTTGTTTATTGTGACTACTGTATCTCTGTCACCCCATGATTATGACCACTGTATCTGTCACCCCATGATTATGACCACTGTATCTCTGTCACCCCATGATTATGACCACTGTATCTCTGTCACCCCATGATTATGACCACTGTATCTGTCACCCCATGATTATGACCACTGTATCTCTGTCACCCCATGATTATGACCACTGTATCTGTCCCCCATGATTATGACCACTGTATCTCACCCATGATTATGACCACTGTATCTCTGTCACCCCATGATTATGACCACTGTATCTGTCCACCCCATGATTATGACCACTGTATCTCTGTCACCCCATGATTGTGACCACTGTACTCTGTCACCCCATGATTATGACCACTGTATGTCTGTCACCCCATGATTATGACCACTGTATCTCTGTCACCCCATGATTATGACCACTGTATGTCTGTCACCCCATGATTATGACCACTGTATCTCTGTCACCCCCATGATTATGACCACTGTATCTCTGTCACCCCATGATTATGACCACTGTATCTGTCACCCCATGATTATGACCACTGTATCTGTCACCCCATGATTATGACCACTGTATCTCTGTCACCCCATGATTATGACCACTGTATCTGTCACCCCATGATTATGACCACTGTATCTCTGTCACCCCATGATTGTGACCACTGTATCTCTGTCACCCCATGATTATGACCACTGTATCTGTCACCCCATGATTATGACCACTGTATCTCTGTCACCCCATGATTATGACCACTGTATCTCTGTCACCCCATGATTATGACCACTGTATCTCTGTCACCCCATGATTATGACCACTGTATCTCTGTCACCCATGATTATGACCACTGTATCTCTGTCACCCCATGATTATGACCACTGTATCTCTGTCACCCCATGATTATGACCACTGTATCTCTGTCACCCCTATGATTATGACCACTGTATCTCTGTCACCCCATGATTATGACCACTGTATCTCTGTCACCCCATGATTATGACCACTGTATCTGTCACCCCATGATTATGACCACTGTATCTCTGTCACCCCATGATTATGACCACTGTATCTGTCACCCCATGATTATGACCACTGTATCTCTGTCACCCCATGATTATGACCACTGTATCTCTGTCACCCCATGATTATGACCACTGTATCCTGTCACCCCATGATTATGACCACTGTATCTCTGTCACCCCATGATTATGCCACTGTATCTGTCACCCCATGATTATGACCACTGTATCTCTGTCACCCCATGATTATGACCACTGTATTCTGTCACCCCATGATTATGACCACTGTATCTCTGTCACCCCATGATTATGACCACTGTATCGTCACCCATGATTGACCACTGTATCTCTGTCACCCCATGATTTGACCACTGTATCTGTCACCCATGATTATGACCACTTATCTCGTCACCCCATGATTTGACCACTATCGTCACCCCATGATTATGACCACTGATCTGTCACCCCATGATATGACCACTGTATCTGTCACCCCATGATTATGACCACTGTATCTGTCACCCCAAGATTATGACCACTGTATCTCTCGTCACCCCATGATTAGACCACTGTATCTGTCACCCCATGATTATGACCACTGATCACCCCATGATTGTGACCACTGTATCTGTCACCCCATGATTGTGACCACTGTATCTGTCACCCCATGATTATGACCACTGTATCTCTGTCACCCCATGATTATGACCACTGTTCTCGTCACCCCATGATTATGACCACTGTATCTCTGTCACCCATGATTATGACCACTGTCTCTGTCCACTCCATGATTATGACCACTGTATCCTGTCACCTCCATGATTATGACCACTGTATCTCTCTCACCCCATGATTATGACCACTGTATCTGTCACCCCTGATTATGGACCACTGTACTCTGTCACCCCAAATTGTGACCACTGTATCTTCACCCTGATGTGACACGTATCTGTCACCCCTGATTTTGACCACGTATCTCTGTCACCCCCATGATTATGACCACTGTATCTGTCACCCCATGATTATGACCACTGTCTCTCGTCACCCCATGATATGACCACTGTACCTGTCACCCCATGATTATGAAACACTGTATCTGTCACCCCATGATTGTGACCACTGTATCTGTCCACCCCCATGATTGTGACCACTGTATCTGTCACCCCATGATTATGACCACTGTATCTCTGTCACCCCATGATTGTGACCACTGTATCTGTCACCCCATGATTATGACCACTGTATCTCTGTCACCCCATGATTATGACCACTGTATCTCTGTCACCCCATGATTATGACCACTGTAATCTCTGTCACCCCCATGATTATGACCACTGTATCTCTGTCACCCCATGATTATGACCACTGTATCTGTCACCCCATGATTATGACCACTGTATCTGTCACCCCATGATTATGACCACTGTATCTGTCACCCCATGATTATGACCACTGTATCTCTGTCACCCCATGATTGTGACCACTGTATCTGTCACCCCATGATTGTGACCATTCTTTCAGTCACCCACGAGTGTGACCATTATCTCATTCACCACATGACTGTGACCACTGTCTCTTTGTTATTCCATGATTATGACCATTCTCGCAGTCACCCCATGATTGTGACCACTGTCTCTCTTTTATAGCATGACTGTGACCACTGTTCTTCTGTCACCACATGACTGTGACCACTCTCACCCCAAGATTGTGGTCACCGTCTCTCTCACTCATCCCATGACTGTGACCACTGTCTCTCTGTCACCCCATGATTGTGACCACTGTCACCCAATGATTATGATCACTGTTTCAGTCATCCCATGATTGTGACCACTGTCTCTCTGTCACCCCATGACTGTGACCACTCTCACCCAATGATTATGACCACTGTCTCAGTCACCCCATGATTGTGACCACTGTCTCTCTGTCACCCCATGACTGTGACCACTGTCTCTGTCACCCCATGATTGTGACCACTCTCACCCCAAGATTGTGACCACCGTCTCTCCCACTCATCCCATGGCTGTGACTACTCTCTATTTCACTCCATGATTATGATCACTATCTCCCTCACCCCATGATTGTGACCACTATCTATCTTCTACAGCCATGATTGTGACCATTGTCTCCCTCACCCCATGATTGTGACCACTATCTATCTTCTACAGCCATGATTGTGACCATTGTCTCCCTCACCCCATGATTGTGACCATTGTTTCTCTCCCTCAAACCACGAATATGACCACTGTCTCAGTCACCCCATGATTGTGACTACTATCTCCCTGTCACCCCATGATTGTGACGACTGTCTCTATGTCACATCATGATTGTGGTCACTGTCTCTCTCCCTCACCCCATGATTATGACCACTGTCTCTCTGTCTCTCCCTGATTGCGACCACTGTCTCTGTTACCCCGTAAATGTGACCACTCTCTCACCCCATAACTGTGACCACTATCTCTGTCGCCCCATGATTATGACCACTGTCCCAGTCACCCCATTATTGTGACCACTGTCTCTCAGTCACCTCATGACTGTGACCACTGTCCTTCGCAGTCACCCTATGATTGTGAATACTCTCTCCTTCACCCCATGATTGTAACTACTATCTCTCCCACACCCCATGATTGTGACCACTGTGTCCCTCCATGATTGTGACCTCTGTCTCTCTCCCTCACTCCATGATTGTGACAGCTGTCTCTCTCCCTCACTCCATGATTGTGACAGCTGTCTCTCTCCCTCACCCCATGATTCTGACCACTGTGTCTCTCCGTCATCTCATGATTGTGACCACTGTCTCTCTCCTTCACCCCATGATTGTGACTACTCTCTCCCTTACCCCATGATTGTGACTTCTGTCTCTCTTCCTCACCCCATGATTGTGACCATTGTCTCTCCCTAACCTCACGATTGTGACCTCAGTCTCATTCTCTTCCTCACCCCATGATTGTGGCAACTGACTCTTTCACCCCTAATTGTGACCACTGACGCATTGTCAAAGGCTTTTGCAAAGTCTGTGTATGTTACATCTGCATTCTGTTTTTCTAGCAGTGCATCCAAGACCATATCACAGTGATCCAGTAGTTGCGAGAGGCAGGAGCGACCTGCTCTGAACCCGTGTTGCCCTGGATTGTGCAGTTTTTGGAAATCCAAGTAGTTTGCAATCATGGCTCCTAGTGCTTTTTCAAAGATTTTTATGATGTGGAACGTTAGAGCTATTGGTCTATAGTTCTTAGCTAATGCTTTGCGGCCCCCCTTTATGGAGTGGGGCTATATCCGTTGCTTTTAATGACTGTGGAATCTCGCCCATGTCTAAGCTCCTTCTCCATAGTATACTTAGGGTACGCTAAAGGGGTTTCTTGCAGTTCTTAATGACTACAGAGTTCTACGAGTCTAGGACTGGGGCTGAGTGCATGGCCATGTTGTCAATGGCTTTCTCAAAGTCTATTGGAGTTAGGGTAATGTCAGAAATTTGGCATACACTGATGGAGTTTTGAGGCTCATTCATGAAAAAAATAATTTGGATTGTCGATCTTTAGACTGATTAGTGGCTCTCTAAACACAGATTCGTATTGGGATTTCAGTATCTCACTCATTTCATGGTTGTCATCTTTGTAAGTCCCATCTTGTCTGAGTAAGGGCCCGATACTAGATGTAGTATTTGACTTATTTTTTGCATATGAAAAAAAATATTTAGAGTTTCTTTCAATTTCACTAATCGCTTTTAGCTCCTCCTGTCTCTCCTGGATCCTGTATGAATCCTTTAACTTAAGTTCGATACTTTCCACTTCCGTGGTCAGTGCTTCATTCCACGTATCAGATAATCTAGCATTCTTGAGGAGCTCAGTGACTTCGTCGTCTTCTGTAGATGGAGCGTCTTTATCTTTCCAGTTTACTTCTTCTCTTCTTCTTTCTTAGGGGAATATGCATTAAACATACTTCAGCTGTCAGGCAGCCGATCCTTTCAAGGCACTGGTTTTGATCCATGTTATTTAAGATATCTTCTCAGCATGTTTCATTTAGGACATGGTACACTTGGTCCCAGTTGATCTTGTTGTTGAAGTTGTATTTGGTTAAGACACCTTCACAGCTATATGCATTTTGCTGATCAGGACCCCTGTGCTTGTAAGTCTGAACTTCGATTAGATTGCGATCGGAATTAGTTGTTTTTGACATTGTTATGTTCCTTACCAGATCCTCATTATTTGTGAAAATAAGGTCAAATGTGTTTTCCAGTCTTGTTAGCACCACTATCTTGTGACTTAGGGTGTTTTTATCGCAGAGATTTAGTAGCTCATGTGTGTGTGACCTTTCATCTCCGCTGCCTCCAGGGATTGTTTCTGCTATAACATTATTTGCTACATTCTTCCATTTTGTACGCCTTAGGTTGAAATCACCAAGCAGTAAGATGTTTGGGGATGGAGCTGAAAGGCTTTCCAGAGAGTAATCATTTTTCAGTAGCTGTTCCTTGAACTGTTGGAAGGTTTCATCTGGTGGCTTATATACAACCACGATGCCTAGGTTTTGGTTCTCGATCTTTATTGCTAGAACTTCAACTACATTATTTGTGGTGTTCAGCATCTCCGTGCAGATGAGCGACTCTTTGGCATACAGGGCTTCCATATATTATTTTCCAGCGAGTCAGTGTGGGAATCCAGAGAGGAAACGCCAGCTGCATCTTGCGTTTCCCACCAACGTCAGAGGAGCTGGAGGAGCTTCAATACTTATATTAGGGCAAGAAAGGCAAGAAATCGTTTTAAACGTTTATAGTAATGTTTATGAAGTTTTCAGTGAAATCTCAATCAATGTCATCAGGATTTTTAATTCAGGAACAGAACATGTTAGCTTAAAAAATTCGGAAAAGGACCGAAAACAAAAATCAACATTATCAGTACATAATAAAAAGCGAAAACTACGAGGGGTGATATTTCTTGGTCCTCCTGCTCAGACTGTCAATGAACCCGTGTTTACCAACTTACTGATGAATTATATATAATAATCAATTCATTATTAAATAATAATAATAATAATAATTATAAATAATTAATAATAATGCATAATAATAATATATAAAATAATAATAATATAAAACAATAATGAATATAATCATATCATAATAATAATAATATATATATAATATATAATCATATAATAATAATAATAATAATAATATAATAATAATAATAATAATAATAATAATAATAATAATAATAATATATAATAATAATATCATCACATCGTAGTCAATAATGCAATCTCCCCATAACGTCATATAACCTAATAACAACCAGATCTCATAGAAAGAATCAGCAAGTTACTAGTTATCCCAGTAAAAATGACATCATTGTAGAATAATTGTTAATTGATAAAGTTAATTAGTCCGTTATTTAAATTCTAAGTTCAAATATAATGTTACTTATTTTGTTAGATATAATTTTAAAAATTCTCGACAGCAGCAGCCAGGTTATATGCCTGGAAGAATTCTGATTGCTGAATGTAACATCTTCTATATAAATTTAATTGATGTTATATTATAATATACTTACATATAATATATATGTTTATATATATAATTATATAAATATATATTTATATACTTCAAGCACAATGACATAATAACAAAGCTTGAAATTATTCTACATATATAAAAGGAACTTCATAATTTATAGTAATAATAATTACAGTCAAGTTACCAATGAATGGACATACAGTGCAGTGAAATATTTTGAATTAGATAATACATTAACATAACAATTATTAATAATGGACTTCAATATAAGTAACATAACAAAGTGTCAGTTGATGTTCCCTGACTTCAAGCCACCAACTGACACTGTGACATAACAAAGTGTCAGTTGATGTTCTCTGACTTCAAGCCACCAACTGACACTGTAACATAACAAAGTGTCAGTTGATGTTCTCTGACTTCAAGCCACCAACTGACACTGTGACATAACAAAGTGTCAGTTGATGTTCTCTGACTTCAAGCCACCAACTGACACTGTGACATAACAAAGTGTCAGTTGATGTTCCCTGACTTCAAGCCACCAACTGACACTGTGACATAACAAAGTGTCAGTTGATGTTCTCTGACTTCAAGCCACCAACTGACACTGACATAACAAAGTGTCAGTTGATGTTCTCTGACTTCAAGCCACCAACTGACACTGTGACATAACAAAGTGTCAGTTGATGTTCTCTGACTTCAAGCCACCAACTGACACTGTAACATAACAAAGTGTCAGTTGATGTTCTCTGACTTCAAGCCACCAACTGACACTGTAACATAACAAAGTGTCAGTTGATGTCTCTGACTTCAAGCCACCAACTGACACTGTAACATAACAAAGTGTCAGTTGATGTTCTCTGACTTCAAGCCACCAACTGACACTGTGACATAACAAAGTGTCAGTTGATGATCTCTGACTTCAAGCCACCAACTGACACTGTGACATAACAAAGTGTCAGTTGATGTTCTCTGACTTCAAGCCACCAACTGACACTGTGACATAACAAAGTGTCAGTTGATGTTCTCTGACTTCAAGCCACCAACTGACACTGTGACATAACAAAGTGTCAGTTGATGTCTCTGACTTCAAGCCACCAACTGACACTGTAACATAACAAAGTGTCAGTTGATGTTCTCTGACTTCAAGCCACCAACTGACACTGTGACATAACAAAGTGTCAGTTGATGTTCTCTGACTTCAAGCCACACTGACACGTACAAAAGTTCATGATGTCTCTGACTCAGCCACCGACACTGTGACATAACAAAGTGTCAGTTGATGTTCTCTGACTTCAAGCCACCAACTGACACTGTGACATAACAAAGTGTCAGTTGATGTTCCTGACTTCAAGCCACCAACTGACACTGTGACATAACAAAGTGTCAGTTGATGATCTCTGACTTCAAGCCACCAACTGACACTGTAACATAACAAAGTGTCAGTTGATGTTCTCTGACTTCAAGCCACCAACTGACACTGTAACATAACAAAGTGTCAGTTGATGTTCCCTGACTCAAGCCCATCACGTGCTAACAAGTCAGTTTCCTGACTTCAGCCACACTGACACTGTAACATAACAAAGTGTCAGTTGATGTTCTCTGACTTCAAGCCACCAACTGACACTGTGACATAACAAAGTGTCAGTTGATGTTCTCTGACTTCAAGCCACCAACTGACACTAACATAAAGTGTCAGTTGATGTTCTCTGACTTCAAGCCACCAACTGACACTAACATAACAAAGTGTCAGTTGATGTTCTCTGACTTCAAGCCACCAACTGACACTGTGACATAACAAAGTGTCAGTTGATGTTCTCTGACTTCAAGCCATCAACTGACACTGTGACATAACAAAGTGTCAGTTGATGTTCCCTGACTTCAAGCCACCAACTGACACTGTAACATAACAAAGTGTCAGTTGATGTTCTCTGACTTCAAGCCACCAACTGACACTGTAACATAACAAAGTGTCAGTTGATGTTCTCTGACTTCAAGCCACCAACTGACACTGTGACATAACAAAGTGTCAGTTGATGTTCTCTGACTTCAAGCCACCAACTGACACTGTAACATAACAAAGTGTCAGTTGATGTTCTCTGACTTCAAGCCACCAACTGACACTGTAACATAACAAAGTGTCAGTTGATGTTCTCTGACTTCAAGCCACCAACTGACACTGTAACATAACAAAGTTAGACGTACACAAAGAAATATTAAAGCTTCAGTAAATTGCGTTATTCTTTGTTACTTGGTTATCAACATATTTCATACATTATAAAACTATTGCTACTACACGTGACATGATAAGAGAAGTATACGTTTTAGTTTTTTCTTGAAAACTATGTTGCTGTGTTTAGCAAATGTTCCATTGTACTTCCTTATAATTTGGTAAGTCTTGTGCAATTTCTCACTTCCTCGGGATGTCTGTTCTAACTTTTTCTTCCCGTTGTTCGCATGGAGTTCTTCGCTGATTCGGTCTATCAAAAAAATTCAGAAACAAGAAGGCTGTGTGAAGTACACAATCCTTAGACATCACGTCCACCCCGAAGTCACTGAAGATGGTGGTTTCCAGGGAGACATTGGTAAGTATGAACTGCCTTTTCTTACATATATGATGATCTTTCAGCATTGATGTACCATTTCTACATCAACGTCTATGTCTTTTTTCCTCAGTAATATAATGAATGCTCATGCTTCTTCCTTCATCACTATGCCTGTGTCTACAGCCTCTATTTACCGACGTCTTTTGGGGGGTTCTTGTAGGCGCCCATAAAAAGGACGGTCTTCGCCTGGTTGTCGAAGATGAGGAACACGAAAGGTCTGTTGCAGTGGAACTTACGGAGTGGAGGACCAATGATCCTATCGATCAGTACAATCGCCGTCGCCGCTGCCGCTTCAGTGCCTTCCTCAGACACCTCAACAAAGGCCTTGTGGATGGCCTTTTTGGCATAGAGAAGCTTGTCCGTTGCAAACTCCGTCAGGTTGGCTGATCTGCTATCGAAGAGGTCTTTGATACCCGAGTTTTTGAGGCCCTGGTGGGGGTGAGACAGGGAAGATACACACTCATTATTTTGTCTCTTGTTTGTCACTTGTTTATTCATTAATAACATATAATTTTTCTCAACTACTAATATAATCTCTCTCACAATAATATTCTCTTCTCCCGAGCTTTACATTAATATTATAAATGTGCTGGGAAAGAAAATAAATTTTTAATGTGTATTTTATGGACACTTTAGTGAATAAAACTTTGTTCCGAGCTTGTCACATTGCTCAACCCACAAAATTTCTCTCTCTCTCTCTCTCTCTCTCTCTCTCTCTCTCTCTCTCTCTCTCTCTCTCTCTCTCTCTCTCTCTCTCTCTCTCTCTCTCTCTCTCCTCTCTCTCCTCCTCTTACCTCTATCAGTTCATCTCTAAGCATCTGTTCCAGTTTAAACTTGGGTAGGAAAACCTCAACGGGAACACTGTTGTTCAGTTTGCTGGTGACCTTGGAGAGGTTCGCACCACTCAGAGCTGACACCATGCTCGAGAACCCTGCCTCTCCTTCTGTATCCGGCAGCAGCAGCAACATGGAGATAACGTCTCCGGCATAAGGCAGTTCCAGAATCCGGGCTCGCAGCTCCGTCGACTGAACTGAAGTGTGAAAGAGAGAAGTTAATACCGGACAGCATTAGAACAGCAGGTATAGTGATGCTTTGATATGTATTAAGAGTTTGTTTGATATATGCGTAACTACAGCCAGTTTAGGTAAATGGAGATATTTGAAACATTTTGGTATTTTATTTAGGCTATGTTGTGTGTGGCGGGAGCTTTATCAAGGGTCAGTGATAAAGCTTGATAAAGTTTTCCATGGAGAAAACGTTGTCCTAAATGATATGTCCAAGTGTAACAAATGTGTCTATTTAGCTCCAGTGGTCTGCCAATGTAGCATTACCTGAATTACATTTTCTTACAGAGAAAATGTGAAGGAGAAATGCAGCACTAAAATATAAGAAAGACTGAGATATGTCGGTCAGTATACTGACACTTATAAGTGGCAAACAACAGCTTGTCAACGTGGAAAACATCCGTGCTGACAGAATTGAGTCAATGACCCAGTTAACATCTATACATTTCGCCCCCTCACCGAGCTTGAGACTGGTCTTGAGCTTCATCATGGGAACGTCGACGGAGTGTTTGGGGCTGACGAAGAAACTCTGAATCGTAGTATTGGTCGAATTGAACATGTACTTCCAGGACCCCTTGAAGAACGCTGCGTTGATGAGTACCATGAGGGCGTTTTCTAAGTCGTCTGGTTTAACTAATTGGTTAATACGGCCCCTCGTGTTGCTAGACACAAACTCATTGATGGCAGCGGAAGATTCATCCTTCTGAAAAAAAACACGAAATGCTTGTGAACCTCAGATATAATAAATAAACAACGAATAATAGAAACACAAGTTTGCCGATGCACATAAGTTGTACACATACCCGAAGCATTTGATAGCTGATTCAATATAGGAAAACTTTTGAGAACCTTTCAGTAAAATAAAACTATTGGCAAAATGCCCTTTGACAAAAAATCTTTTCATAATTATTACGTTTCACTCACTGTTCGTTTTATCAAGACTACTGATAAAATACCACTGGGTCAAACGTTGTTTTAATAAAAGAATTCTTTAAATGAGAGCGTTGTTTTAACACCGTCTGTCCGCACTCGTAGCAATTCTTTCACAAATAAAATTAGTGGATAAATTAGACACGTGCAACACCTGGGTATCTTTAAAGATATCCAAGTGTTGCACATGCATCTAATTTGTCAACTTGTTGGTTCTCTGAGCCATATATCTACAAAAAAAATAGTGTTGGGTAAAAATTGTTTCAGATAGTATTAAGACGTTCTCGTCAGAGGAAATAGGAGAAGGAGTGAGGGAAAGTGAAAAGAAAGGCAAGAAATTGATATAAATATAAAAAATAAATGCTTTACGCTGTGCAAAAAAAAATCACGGAGGTTAAGGAGGAGGGTGTACCCAGACAGTAGTGATGAAAAACATTCGTGAACCAACAGGAATCAAAAGTAAAAATATGAGACTACACTGAAGAAAAGAAAAATTAGTCATCATACTAGATAAGGCCCTATGGAGAGTAGATTTTACCACCGAAGAGGCAAGTTTATTGTGCACCGCATGTCCATCTTGTGGAGGGTAGCGCAAGAGCATCTGGATGCACAAAAGGCCTGGGAAATGGGCCCCGAAAAGGTTTACAGGAGAACGTCTGGATTTATGAAATCTGCTCAGTATATCTGGTATCTTATTTTCACAGAGCAGTTTGTGAACGATGACGCAATAATGAATTTCATGTCAATCTGTTCCTGATGGGAAATAAACGATGGTACAGAGAAATTGCGTAGCGTATCTAAGGCATTGCTGATTAATTAAATGTGGTAATATAGAGAAAAGTTATCAAAAAATAAAAATAAAAATAAGATTGATGGACTGAACACATCGACTCAAGGTTGAGGGACTGATTACCTCATTCTCCTCCTGTTCTTCAAGTTTCTCCTACGTATGGACTGATGAAGCCACTGTGTGGCGAAACGTTTCCTCAATAAAGATACCCAAGAGTTGCACATGTGTCTAATTTATCAACATGTCGGTTCTCTGAACCATTCATCTACAAAAAATAAGGAAAGCGTAATATTTACGCTAAGAAACGGTTTCCAGTCATCGATTTCATTTTAGCTTTCATTCACGCCATCTTAGCTTTTCTAAATTTTGCCGAGAACACCAGCCTAAAAAACTTTAAGTGAAAATGAGGAGTCACAAACTAGGCTTGAGAGGGAGAATTATTGCGGAACACATTTCACTACATGATCAGAAGGGGCAAGAAATGACAAGATTTTAAGCCATGTTACGCTACCCTTCCCCTCCCCTTCTCCCCCCCAAAAAAATGATTTTTATACTCACTTTTTTTTATTCTGACGTAGTAAACATGGATGATGACAGTTTTTTTTTTACCTTAAGGACAAGTTTTTAAACTCTCTGCAGGAACATAACGAGGAAAAAATATCAAGGTTCTCTTGAATCCTGAGGAAGGTGCACGAACGAGGAACAATCTTGATGCAATCACAAACATCAGAGACTTAGTGACCAGGAGGGCGATCACAAGCATTCATTTATCAACGAGACCCAAAGAACCATATTTCCTTGTCTACGTTTTGAAGTTTATAACGATTTCTTGTTTTTGAAATGTGTCTTTGGGAGAGTAACATCCAGGTGCGGTAATAACAAGCGTTTTTTTGGAGGTGGGACAGGGGGGGGGGGTAGGAAGTTGAATGTAAAATAAACTCTGCTTCAGCTAACACTATTCAGCGAATTCCGGGAATAATAAGAGCAAATAAAATGAAGCAATAATGTAGTGCCTTAAATTACTCGTTACTTAACACTCCCCCATAACATGACTCGCTGGTCCCTAACACTACTAATACAAAAAAATACAATGAAGTGAACACATTCTGAAAATTCAAGAAGTAATGAGGGAATCTAACTCAGTTCTCCTAAGTGACTCTCTTTCACACTCAGCCTTCTGTTAGGATTTTTATAAATGTCTTTAAATTATATAAAAAACGAAAATTTTATTATAATGCACAAGAATTTTTCTGCAGTAATCGTAAATTAATGTCATGGAAAAGTGTTAAGGTGATCGTGTACCAACAGGCCGATAATAGATAAAAATATATTATTAACAACACAGGAATAAAAGTTTAGAAGAATGACAGACTCCTTGATGACGGACTGGCTTTCTTGGGTTATCCTGGGTGACTAACTCTCCCTACCCCGGGTTATCCTGGGTGACTAACTCTCCCTACCCCGGGTTATCCTGGGTGACTAACTCTCCCTACCCCGGGTTATCCTGGGTGACTAACCCTCCCTACCCCGGGTTATCCTGGGTGACTAACTCTCCCTACCCCGGGTTATCCTGGGTGACTAACTCTCCCTACCCCGGGTTATCCTGGGTGACTAACCCTCCCTACCCCGGGTTATCCTGGGTGGCTAACCATCCCTACCCCGGGTTATCCTGGGTGACTAACCCTCCACACCCCGGGTTATCCTAGGTGACTAACCCTCCCTACCCCGGGTTATCCTGGGTGACTAACCCTCCCCCGAATTAAAAATCCCAAGAAATATTATCTTATAATTAGTTTTTCGTCAAAAACATGAACTTACTTTCGTGAAGTCGACGGTCTGCAGCTCTTGCTTGAGGACACTCTTAGCACAAGGTCGAAGATTGAGAGTTTTGCTTATGTAGACGCGATTGGCCATGTTGAAGGTGTAAGGAGGGTTGAGGGCAGCCCGCTGTGCGTACCTGCAGGAAGAGCAGTAAGAAGTACAGCTCTAGTGATAGCCACCAGGAGGACAACCAGAGTGGGACGGTGTACCTGAGAGTCACACAGACCTGGTCGTCAAGACTGCACCAGAAGGGAAGAGGAACAGGCTTAAATTTCTGCAGATCTAACAGCCAAGACTACCAGCAACAGTAAGAGTGAGAACAGCAGTGAGTGTGGTCATGATGATAGTAGCAGTGATGATTGCAAGAATAATAGTCGTGGTGATAGTAACAATAATAGTAGTGATGACAGCAACAATAATAGCAGTGGTGATAGTAACAATAATAGTAGTAGTGATGATACTAGAAAGAATAGTAATAGTGATAGTAGCAATAATAGTAGTAGTGATGATAGTAAAATTAGTAGTGATGGTAACTAATAGTAGTAGTTAAAATAGTAGTAATAGTAGTAGTAGTGATAATAATAATAGTAGCAATAGTAACAATAATAGTAGAAGTGATAATAAGAATAATAGTAGTGATAATAGTAAATATAATCCACCAGTAGGCCTGGTCATGGACCGCGCCGCGGGGGCGTTGACCCCAGGAACACCCTCCAGATAGTAATGATAGAAAGAATAGTAGTGATGATGGGAACAATAACATTCACACGCACAACAGTGTGTGTGTGTGTGTGTGGGTGTGTGTGTGTGTGTGCATAGATGTGTCTGTATTAGGTGGGCGTTAATAATTAAGTTGATAAGTTTTACGTGTTCCTGCAGTTAGTTTACTCACATTATATCAAGTGCTCGCCACAGCCTCAGTGTTGACGTTTTGTCTGTGACCCTGAGTGTGGCTTCTAACTGGGTCCTCGTCCTTCCCGCTGACCCGAAGTAGGTAAGAGTGAGGGCTGTCCATATACTGTAGGGCGAGAAAAAGAAGTTCGTGGTGGCATTGCTCTTTCGAGAGAGCTCTCGGTAGAGGTCGAAGCTGAAGTCGTTGATGCCGGTGAGGTCAGTGGTTAAGTTTCCGGAGGAGGTGACGTTGTTGCCATCATTGAAGCACCGAGGGACGGTGCTACCCACAGCCGCTACCACCACCGTCGCCAGGATAACCGCTGATAGAGCTGTCCACCTCATAACTCTGTCGGAAACCAGAATGTGTTAATTTGATACAAAGAAAGATCTGTGGCTAAACCCACACACACACACACACACACACACACACACACACACACACACACACAGGACCAGGGGCCAGGAGCTGTGAATCGACCCCTGCAACCACAATTAGGTGAGTACACACAAATAAGCTATGAATCGACCCCTGCAACCACAATTAGGTGAGTACACACAACACAAGAGAGGGGACTACAGAGGCATGAGAAATTTCCTGCATGAGGTTCAGTGGGAAAGAGAACTGGTGGGAAAATCAGTGAAATGATGGAATACGTGACAACAAAATGCAAGGAGGCAGAGGAGAGGTTCGTACCCAAGGGCAACAGAAATGATGGGAAAACTAGAACGAGCCCTTGGTTCACTCAAAAATGTAGAGATGTCTAAACTAAGTGTGCTAGAAAATAGAAAAAGTACAGTAGACAAAGTACCCATGAAAATAAGGAGGGAGGCCCAGCTACAATGCAAGAATGACAACGTCGAAAGCCACATCTAACTCAAAGCTGTTGTACAGCCACATCAGGAGGAAAACAACAGTTAAAGACCGACCAGGAGGAAGGAAGGACGGGAGGTCACAAGAAACGACCAAGAAGTATGCGAAGAGCTCAACACTAGATTTAAGGAAGCATTTTCAATGGAGACAGAAAGGACTCCAGAAAGCCAGAATTGTGGGGTACACCAGCAAGTGCTGGACACAATACACACAACCGAGGAGGAGGAGGTGAAGATATCTCGTAGGCGGTGGGACTGGACAACATCTCTCGATGGGTCTTGAGAGAGGAAGCAGAGGCACTTTGTGTACCACTAACAACAATCTCTAATATATCTATCGAAACAGAATAACTGTCTGAGGTGAGGAAGACAACAAATGTAGTTCTAATTTTTAAGGAGACTGACAGCATTAAACCACAGACCAGTGTCACTGACATATATATAGTATGCAAAGTCACGGAGAAGATTATCAGAAGAGTGGTGGAGCACCTAGCAAGAAATAAGCTTATACACGATAACCAGCACAGTTTCAGGGAAAAAAAATCCTGTTTTACGGAGTTTTACGGCACGGTGACGGAAGTAGAACAAGATAGAGAGAGGAGTGGGTAGATTGCATTTTCATGGACTGTAAGAAGGCTTTCGACACAGTTTCACACAAGAAACCTAGAGGAGCAGGCAGGAATAACAGGAGAGGCACTGCAGTGGATCAGAGAATATCTGACAGGAAGAAAACAAGTGATGGTACGTGACGAGGTGTCAGAGTGGGTGGCTGTGACGAGTGGGGTTCCACATGGGTCAGTCCTAGGGCCGATGCTGCTTCTGGTATATGCAAATGAGCTTTGAAGTGTTAGATTCAGAGGTGTCCCTGTTTGCAGACAATATGAAGCTAAGGCGAAGAATTCGAATGGATAAGGATCAGGTAGAACTACAAAGGGATCTGGACAGGCTGCAAGCCTGGCCCAGCAACTGGCTCCGCTGACGGAGTATAGGCTAGGGGGCCAAAGGCTACAAAACACACTCAAGGAAAGGATCTTACAGTGAGTATCATACCGAGCACATCTCCTGAGGCGTAAAACAGTCAAATAATTGCTGCAGCATATGGGCGCCTGGCAAACCTAAAAATATCGTTTCGACACCTTGGAAAGGAATCGTTCAAGACTCTGTACATCGTATACGTCAGGCCCATATTGGAGCATGCAGCACCAGTATGGAACCCACACCTGGTCAAGCACGTCAAGAAATTAGAGAACGTGCAAAGGTTTGCAACAAGACTAGTCCCGGAGCTGAGGGGAATGTTCTACTAGGAGTGGCTCAGGGAACTCAACCTGATGACACTGGAGAACAGGAGGGATGGGGGAGGGGGCATGATAACGACATATAAGATACGGAGAAGAACTGACAGGATGGATAGGGACAGGATGTTACACAGATGGGACACAGCAACAAGGGGTCACAACTGAAAGTGGAAGACTCAGATTAGTCACAGAGATGTTAGGAAGTATTTCTTGAGTTATAGAGTTGTCGGTAAGTAGAACAGCCTGGAGAGTGATGTAGTGGAGGCAGGATGCATACATAGCTTTAAGAAGAGGTATGATAAAGCTAATGGAGCAGGGAAAGAGTTGACCTAATAACGACCAACGAAGAGGCGGGGCCAGGAGCTGTAATCCGACCTTTGCAACCACTAATAGATGAGAACACACACACACACACAAACAAACAAACACATAATTATTATCGTTATATTCATAGAAAACAATAAGCTTATGGGGGCAGACAAATGCTCGGATATAAATTTTCCTTTGACGTAACAATAAGCTAAATAACTGTAGACTACAAAGATACATAACAATAATAATGTAAAGTTCGTTAACTACTGAATTTTCTTCACCTGAGCCTCAGTGATCAGGCTTGACACTTGACTCGGGTTGTGTTCAATAGTTTGGTGTCTAAGTAGTTGTGTACAATGGTCCCTTGAGTGTTCCAGCCAACAGCTGCAGGTCAGCTGCCAGTTCTGTAATGTGGTTATCATTTCCAGCTAATGTTGTTCCATGAGTTGGATGTAAAGGAATGACAGCTTTATTAAACACCGTGTTAAAAGTATACATGACAGTCAATCTGTTACTCCCCTTAACACGGGGGTCATGGTACGTTGAGTTTCTTAAAGATCGCTTACCAGTGATGATTCTAACTTAAAGGAAGATTTGCTATTGTTTTAAGTTACGTATATATATAAAAAAATACCAATTTTGTAATGGTAGTAAATAATGGCGAATTATTATTATTTTAAGAATAATCATCAAACTCGTATGGGTCATACAGCACTGTGGAATGGTAACGTGTAAGGATGAGTGGTTAGTGGGGGCGCCAGATTAATGTCAGGGATGGTACAATAGGTCAGTTTCTGTTAAAAAGACACAGAATATTTCTGTTTTGGTATTTGGGCTTTCGATGAGAAAGTCAGTTAAAGTGAGTGTGTCAGGGCGTTGCAGATGTCCAAAGTAAATTCTATGTGCAGTTTGATAGATCGGACAGCTGTTCAGATACGGTAAATAGATTGTTCAGTTTTGCTGTGCTCACAATTAGGTGCTGTCTGTTGTATGTGTCGAGTCGTAACTGTGTGATAGAGGGTCTTCTAACACCAGAGTTGTAACTGTGTGATAGAGGGTCTTCTAACACCAGAGTTGTAACTGTGTGACAGAGGGTCTTCTAACACCAGAGTTGTAACTGTGTGACAGAGGGTCTTCTAACACCAGAGTTGTAACTGTGTGACAGAGGGTCTTCTAACACCAGAGTTGTAACTGTGTGACAGAGGGTCTTCTAACACCAGAGTTGTAACTGTGTGACAGAGGGTCTTCTAACACCAGAGTTGTAACTGTGTGATAGAGGGTCTTCTAACACCAGAGTTGTAACTGTGTGACAGAGGGTTTTCTAACACCAGAGTTGTAACTGTGTGACAGAGGGTCTTCTAACACCAGAGTTGTAACTTGTGTGACAGAGGGTCTTCTAACACCAGAGTTGTAACTGTGTGACAGAGGGTCTTCTAACACCAGAGTTGTAACTGTGTGACAGAGGGTCTTCTAACACCAGAGTTGTAACTGTGTGACAGAGGGTCTTCTAACACCAGAGTTGTAACTGTGTGACAGAGGGTCTTCTAACACCAGAGTTGTAACTGTAGTGTAGAGGGTCTTCTAACACCAGAGTTGTAACTGTGTGACAGAGGGTCTTCTAACACCAGAGTTGTAACTGTGTGACAGAGGGTCTTCTAACACCAGAGTTGTAACTGTGTGATAGAGGGTCTTCTAACACCAGAGTTGTAACTGTGTGACAGAGGGTTTTCTAACACCAGAGTTGTAACTGTGTGACAGAGGGTCTTCTAACACCAGAGTTGTAACTGTGTGACAGAGGGTCTTCTAACACCAGAGTTGTAACTGTGTGACAGAGGGTCTTCTAACACCAGAGTTGTAACTGTGTGACAGAGGGTCTTCTAACACCAGAGTTGTAACTGTGTGACAGAGGTTTTCTAACACCGAGTTGTAACTGTGTGACAGAGGGTCTTCTAACACCAGAGTTGTAACTGTGTGACAGAGGGTCTTCTAACACCAGAGTTTGTAACTGTGTGACAGAGGGTCTTCTAACACCAGAGTTGTAACTGTGTGACAGAGGGTCTTCTAACACCAGAGTTGTAACTGTGTGACAGAGGGTCTTCTAACACCAGAGTTGTAACTGTGTGATAGAGGGTCTTCTAACACCAGAGTTGTAACTGTGTGACAGAGGGTCTTCTAACACCAGAGTTGTAACTGTGTGACAGAGTGGTCTTCTAACACCAGAGTTGTAACTGTGTGATAGAGGGTCTTCTAACACCAGAGTTGTAACTGTGTGACAGAGGGTTTTCTAACACCAGAGTTGTAACTGTGTGACAGAGGTCTTCTAACACCAGAGTTGTAACTGTGTGACAGAGGGTCTTCTAACACCAGAGTTGTAACTGTGTGACAGAGGGTCTTCTAACACCAGAGTTGTAACTGTGTGACAGAGGGTCTTCTAACACCAGAGTTGTAACTGTGTGACAGAGGGTCTTCTAACACCAGAGTTGTAACTGTGTGACAGAGGGTCTTCTAACACCAGACAGTGAAGGAAAGACGATGGACGGGAACCCACTGTGGTTTATATTGAAAGCAACATTATTGCCAGTGACTTGAAGGTTGAGAGGATCTTGGAAAATAGTTCGAGAAAAGGACCTTTCTGTGAGAGATTGATAAGTCATGACTAACAGATAGAAGGAATCGCGGTAAATTAAAAGATGATGGGTTCGAACGCAGAAATTGAAGGACCATGATAAATGGGCTAACGATTAAATTTACTACTCTTATTGACATTTGCGATAATTCTGCACATATAAATATTAAGGTCATTCAAGGGAGCAAAATAGTGAGAGTAATAAGTCTTACATCGATGTTGCCAACAAAGATTTTTTGGAAA